TATTTGAACATAAAAAATCTACTATAAATTAAAATAAATAAGAATAAATTAAGAAAAGAATAATAATGGGATAATTAAAAACTTTGTAAGAAATTCCATTATATTTCAAAAAATCATAATTAAAAGCAACAGGAGATTAAACTTTATTGCAATAATTCTCCTTCCTCCAGCCCTTCCTCATCCCCACTACTAAATTGGGCAATTATATCATCAAATAAATGGGGCATTTCACGGAATAAATGATGCGGGCGATAACATTTCGAATGACGAGTCAAATTTTTGTCTAACCTGGGATCGAGTAAACGTGATTGTTGTTGACGTTCAGCAGGCGAAGAAAGTAAATCAACACGTTCTGTTGGGATATTGCGAGGTTGTAATGTAGGTGGACGACAATTTTCATCTAGTCGTTTAAGCAGGAGTTTATCCTCACGATCCATTCGACGAACCTTTAAAATTAAGCAATGTTTATGATATTATTTTAGAATTAAAAAACAATAACTATTCTATCATAATTATTAAAAAGAGTGTATATTTAAAATAACGTACAAGCATAATAATCATGCAACCTCTACGTCCACACCATTCCGGCAACCCAGGTCCATCAAAAGGAAAAAGAATACCTGAATTTTTTTGATTTGATAAATATTCAGAAAGTTTTAAATTTATATTAAATTACTTGGTAACGGCTTCCCAGGTGCAAGAGTAAAAATATATCCATCCTTTATTCGGTCATGGCCAGTTAAATCCAAAACAATAATTTGTTTGTTGTCATAATTGACTTTTTCGTAAAAACGCGTATAAAACTCATACTGATAATCTACAACAAAAAATTTTGAAAATGAATAAAAATAAACCTTTCGGAAGTTCAACCAATAAAAGAATAATTTGTTTGTCCCAACTGTCTTTTAACCGATCGATATATTTCCAAACACCAATAGCTTCTGATCGACCCATTACATGGAGAACTGGAGGTAATTCACGACCAACTTTGAAAGCCCCTTTATTGCTGATTGCAGATAAAGTACAATCGAAAGAGGCCAAGTTAGTCCAAATAAATTTCCCTTTCCAGATTTGATTGTTGAACCTATTGTAAATTATATAGTAATGGGTAAAAATTTAGAAAATAGATGTCAAAGAAAAAATCAGCCTGTAACAACTTTTAAAAGATAACCTTTTTCCTCGATTGAATTCTTGCTCGTCAATTATCATTTGACCATTAATAGGATGAAGCATTGATCCATTAAAGGAATTCCAATTCTCATTATTTTCAATTGTCATTTCTATATTATTGTTTATCTGTTCAAATGGAGAAATGCATGAAACTTCATCTTCTCTCGGCTTTTCACTTTGATTGAATTGGTGGTAATCATTTTGAGTTGAACGAAACTAAAAATAATTAGAAAAATAAACAAATGTGGACGCCTCTATTTGCAATGAATTTTTCATTTTCGAGTTGGGAGGTACAAAAATCGTTTTTCTGGCAATTGGCAAGAAAAGAAATTAACTTTTTTTTGCTTAAATAAAATCCAAAATTTTTAATTAAAAAAAAACTCACATCAACGTTTGTATCTTGCACTTCAGGGGCCAATTGTGATGATATTTCAGGGGCATAATTATTAAAACCGCCATTGAAAGCATCATCATTTCCATAATCATTCTCCCCTCCTTCGAAAGACATATTGTCATCTTCATGATTATTTTCACAAATTTGTTCTGGAGGAAGTGCGTCAACTAATTCTAGGCCTAAAGGGTCACGTAGATGACGTTCCTGATCGAATGGGTTATCGCAACGACCAAAAATTACATCTCCGTCTAATAATATGTTGTTGTTATCGTTATTAATAGTTGGTGATGAGGCAGAGCATTCCAACTGAAAATTTAGGTAATCAAAAATAAGTTAACGATGTCCTCAATTTTTATCTGCAGGTCATATTTTTATACACACAAAAGGATTAATTCTGAAGAATAAAATCTCCAATTTTGAAAATAATTTTTTAGGTTATGTTAACAGTAATTCTTTTGAGAAGGTATGTTAAAAACGAGTTGATAATAAAAACCCAATCTGTTACTTTCACAAAATGCATCAATATATGTATTCTAGTACAAACTAACTAGACTATTTTAGTATAAAACTAACCATATCAAATTGTCCACTTCTCCTTTGCTTCAGAATATCCCATCCATTCGAGGCTGTTTCATCAGCCCTAACTTCCAACATTGCAGCTTGGATTGAAGGATCCAAATCAGGGAAATTTACTTGTCCACTAATTACTTCTTCAGCCCTTCTCTGTAAAAAATAAAAAAATATTTAAGTTATCCAAAAAATTTCAACTCTTTGTTCAAGCTCTGCTTCTAAACGTTCCTGTCTTTCTTTTTCAGCAAATTTCTTCAAATTCATTTGTTTACATATACCACAGTTTGCATCGTATAAGTGACTATTGTGTAGATGTGTTGTATCTTTATTCAAATCACCCAAAATGTCATCAAGTGTGGACTTGAAAAAATTAATAAATTTTTTATTTTTTAAATTTTTTAAATCTTAAAAAAATGTTTTTGAATATAAATTTTCAATATATTTTTTTGGGTCTCCCCACTAGTCCGCAAAAGTTTATTCGCAACTTTTTTTTGATTTTTAAACCCTTTATATATTATTGACTAGTTAAAATTTTAATTCAAAATTCACCTTTGCCTGTAACGGTGCTTTTTTAACCATATTGTGTCGACTTGCTGTTGTGATAATTTTTTTGCGAATTTGAGTAGTCTTGCTAACAGAAGTACATGGTTCATTATAAACATTCTCTAAAATAAATGAAAGATGAAGAGTAATTTTTTATATTAAAGTTGTATCGCGATAAAGAAAAGTTTTTAATATTAAATCTCAAAAAAACCTTCAGGTGTTTCAGAGATTGATGTTGAATCGGCAGCCGCAACTATAAAATTACTAGACGTTGAAGGAGCATGACCAGCAAAAAATAAAGTATTCGCTTCATTCTGAGGCAATGGTACACTCATCTGATCAATCGACAGTGTTACCAATTTTTTGACTGAAACTTTATCTCTGAGAACATCGCGGAAGAAACCCTGAAAAACAAAATTCAGAATCATTTTTTGCACTTTTTTTAAATAATTCAAGTGCAGTATCAAAATAATATTTTTATTTGTACGTTAATCCGCAAAAAATTCAAGTGTCAAATCTTCACAAGTGTTGAAATTGAGTGTCTTCTCATTGTTAGTTAAGTAGGATCCCGTGCATGATAATATATATCTGACTGATGTGAGATAAAATAAAAATAAACTAACATTCATCTCATCGTTAACAACAGTAATGAAGCTTTTGAACCATTTGCGATATCCCAAATTAACATCTTGATGAATCGAAAAAAGTGAACGTTCAATTTCCATACCCAAATCTTTGTAACGTTTAAGTGAGAAAATCATATTTGCCGATTTTGATCTTTTCTGAAGATTGGTTTCAATAGCTTTTCTTACATCAACTCTCATTGATTCTATTTTCTTTTGATATGCAGGATCGTGTAGACGATGATTTGTCTCGACTAAAAAATTAAATTTTATTATCAAACAAAATAAATTAACTCCCATGAGGTTAAATAAACATTTTTTATTCTTAACGATTTTATTACTTTGTGTTGAATTTTATCTATTTAAGTATCTACTTCACTAATATTAATAAGAAAGGCACGACTATAAAAAAACTTATATTTTAGATCGTTAACATATTTTGTTGATTTTTAATATTTATTATATAATTTTGTTATAGCGGGATTATGTTCCTGTAAATATATCTAGGAAATGCGAAAATATTTTTGCATTTAGTGAAAGAAACATCACAAACACTAACAAAAGTTCAAATCTGTATTCCTAAAATTTCAAAAATTACCAATACTTTAAATCAGGCCCGTAGCCAGGATTTTTTTTCGGGGGGGGGGGGGGCCAAGGGGGGAAAAATTTTTATTTTCAGCGCCGCAGGCGAAAATTTTGAAAATTTCGAAGGCCGTAGGCCAAAAAATTAACTTTTTTTGCCCCAGCCCTTCCCCAAATTTTTCCCTTTTCCCCATTTCGGGGGGGGGGGGAATCCCCCCCCCCCCCAGCTACGGACCTGCTTTAAATGAAAAGGGTGACCCCCCCCCCCCAATTCGAAACTAAAAATATGAAGGAAAAAATCCTTCGTTAGACTAAAATTATTACCAATTTGTTCGGAAGCTAAAACTGGTTGATAAGAAGGATTTGCAAGAAGAAAATCTTCCAAAGTTTCAATTGTTGGATTTAAATGGCTGTGGTTCATCATTGCTCCTTTGTGGTCGATAACAAGAATGCGTTCACCTTCTTTTACACACTAGAAAATAAAATGTCAGAAATCGCCCTAATCGGATTAATTTTGGTTGAATTAAGTTATACTTTTTCTATTACAATATAAAGATCACCCGTTAAAAATAAAAGGAACCCATTCGATCAAATATACCTAATTTAAACACACCTTTCTTGCATCTTCTGCCTTTTTAGAAATACATTTCTGTGAACAAAACAAAGTATCCCGACCGCCAAACCTTTCTTTGTCAACTACCGACTCACAAACACAACACTGAACAATTGCCGCAAAATTATGTTTTTGTAGACTTCTAGCCACTTCATCTCTCCCGGCATAAATATTTGGAGGAGAATATTTTCTTTTCTGGTCAGAAGAATGTTTTTCTTTTTTACGCTCTAAATTGAAGTAAACAATTTTAATTGAATTTTAGATAAATGCACCAGTCAAAAATGTGAACGAAAAATTTTTGTAAGGGAAATTCCAGTACTCTACAAAAAATTATAAACTGGTACTCTTTCCCGAGATTAGTAAGAAAACGGAGAAAAAATTAATAATTTTCCTCCAAATTTAGTCAAATGAAGGATAGCAAAAAATTTCTTATAATTACCCTTTCCCGTCCCATCAGCTTACCCGTTGGATTATAAATACAAATAGTATTTCCCTAAATGCCCAATTAAACAATATACATACTTTTCTTCTCCCGCTCATCTCTATCAGAATCATCTCGATATGCTTCCTTATTTTTTCGTCTTCGTTCTTTTTTTGCCACCTTTTTTTCCTTTACTTCTTTTATTTGCCTCAATTGTATATATTTTCTATCTCTTTGATAAACAGTTTCAAGTCTTTCACATGGAATAAAAATAGATTTGAAGCCATGACATCGAAGAACATGTTCATCTTTTTGAACAGAAAGGTCAGCAATTCTGGCAAATGCTAGTCCACTAGCTAATGTTTGGAGAGGTGCACAACCAATTATATCTATAGATGTTGTAGCATTTCCTTCTTCGTTCCGAATAGAAGTTGTGGGTTGATCCATTTGATTTAATCCATTGTTGATTTGCTACAAAAATATAATTTAATTGACAATTATCTAATAAGCAAAAATTTGGGAATAAATAAAGAGGAGGAAACAAAAGACTCCAAAATTCCCCACATTCTCGTGATTTTACAAAATTAAAAAAATAAACCGTATGTTCCTTTTCCAAATTCGTATTATTAAAATCCTCTGAAATAATGTTGTCTTGAGAACTCTCATCCGCAATTACTAAAGAATTTTGTTGTTCTTGAAGATTTTTAATCTCAAACTCATCAGATAGAGTCTCTTCCTCCTCCATTATTTTGAAAAACTAAAAAGATTTAATAAATTTATGCAACAAAAAATGGTTTCCACCATTCCCGCAACTACATATTTGACAGAAATTTCATTTTACGACATTAGCTTAAAAAGGATCAAATAGTGCCCGGCAAAATCGATTTTGCCGGACCCGGATTCCGGATTTGCAACTAGAGCCGGACCGGATCCGGCCGGATTTCTCCGGATTAATCCGGTCCGGTTTTAATCCGGAAATTTAAAAAAAACCCGGATTTGGGACCCGGTCTCCGGAAAAATCCGGCCGGATCCGGTCCGGTGCTGGGCACTAATCAAAAACAATACGTCAACTAAAGCATTCCTTCAAAAAATCTATAGGAAATTTTCTCACAAAAAAAAGTTAGGCGCACGAAAGAAAATGTAAAATAAGGAGAGTAAATAACCATTCGACTTGAATTACATTTTTAGCAATAATGATGTGAATAGATAAAAGTCAAAGTTTATTCTGACATTTATTTATTCTCTTTTCGTTAATCTTTAGATTTTTCCTTATTTTTCTCTTTATTTTGCTTAAGTTTTAGAGTTAATTATGTCCAGCTTCAAGAAATTAGCGATTGACCAAACCGCTATCGGAGGCAAACGTGTCTTAATGCGCGTAGATTTCAACGTTCCAATAAAGGATGGAAAGGTGGCCAACAATTTGCGTATTGTGTCAGCTTTGCCTACAATTCAGGTTATTTGATTGAATTGTACATTTTGGGTTATTTTCTTTTCATTTAAGTATGCAATTAACAATGAGGCTAAATCAATTGTTCTGATGAGTCATTTGGGTCGACCGGATGGAATGCGTCAAGAAAAGTATTCGTTAAAGCCAGTCCACACAGAAGTGGAGAAGTTGTTGGGCAGGTTTAAATATTTTGTTGATTAAATACAATTAAATTTTTAGATCCGTTAAATTCCTCAATGACTGCGTTGGTGCCGAAGTTGAGGCTCAAACAGCAAATCCGGATACTGGAACGATCATTCTTTTGGAGAATTTGCGTTTTCATGTCGAGGAAGAAGGAAAAGGAAAAAATGCAGCGGGAGAATCGGTTTTTTAAGCGAAAATGTTTTTTATTTAGAATTTATAGGTGAAGGCAACCAAAGAAGCTGTAGAGGCGTTTCGTGCATCGCTCTCAAAGCATGGCGACATTTATGTGAATGATGCTTTTGGAACCGCACATAGAGCTCATAGGTCGTCTTTAATAGTTTTATTTAATCAAAATTTATTTTAGTTCAATGGTTGGCTGTTCGATCAATCCTCGCGTTTCTGGATTTCTGATGAAAAAAGAATTGGAATACTTTGCAAAAGCACTTGATCAACCACAAAAACCGTTCCTTGCTATCCTTGGTGGGGCCAAAGTCGCGGATAAAATCCAATTGATCAACAATCTGTTGGACAAAGTGCAGGAGATGTGCATTTGTGGAGGAATGGCCTTTACATTTTTGAAGGTGCTGAATGGGATGGAGATTGGTAAATCTTTGTTTGATGAGGAAGTGAGTTTAAATTTGGTTTGATTCTAAATTTTAAATTTAAAAGAGTTTAGGGCGCTAAAATTGTGGGTGATCTAATGGCAAAGGCTAAGGAACGTAATGTGAACATGCATTTACCGGTTGATTTTGTTTTTGGCGACGAGTTTAAAGAAGACACTCCGCATGGAATTGTTGATGCTAAATCGGGAATTCCAGAGGGAAAAATGGTAAACTAGTCCACTTAAACTTTTCAAATTTTCTACTTTAAAGGGACTCGACATTGGGCCAGAGAGCACAAAGAAATTCGCTCAAGTAATCACTTCTGCAAAAACTGTGCTTTGGAATGGGCCGGCCGGTGTTTTTGAATGGTCGAATTTTGATAAGGGAACTAAAGGTCTTTTGGATGCAATTATTGAAGCAACGAAGGCTGGTGCAATTACAATTATTGGTTTGTGGCAAATTCTTTGAATTAAATTCCTAAATTTAAAGGTGGAGGTGACACCGCGACTGCATGCGAGAAGTGGAAAGCTGAGGATAAAGTTAGGTATGTCTGGTGAAAATTAAATAGATTATCTGATTAATTTCTAAAATTTAGCCATGTGAGCACTGGAGGAGGTGCAAGTTTGGAGTTGCTTGAGGGCAAAATTCTTCCCGGTGTCGAAGCATTGACTGATCTTTAGAGAACATAAATGCCAGGAAATCGTAAAAGTAGTCATATCATATGATTATTATTTTAGATAATCTATTTAAATATGTAGATGTTTATTTTTTAGATAAATTTATTCTTTAACCCATGAGTAAATTTAAATAAAAATATATTCAATTTAGGTGAGAGAAATAGAAAATACTTGAGTGTTTAGAGGGTAAATTTCAAAATCGGATGAGCAGCTTCTATTAAAATAAGAATACTTTTACAATAAAATCTGTCTAGGAAAATAGAAAATAACAAAAAGTTTTTGGTAAATTACTTAAAAAAATGTTTGAAAATAAAATTGTAGATATTTGTACCCTTTGAAGAAATTCTTTTGAAAAATTTTTTTGGATTATTGTGTGAACAGTTAATCAAACAAGATAGTATATTCATAAATAAATAGCCAACGGGAAATAAAATAAATAAGGTATATGTACAATTCACTGTCTAGAATAAATTAAATCTAATTGTAAGGACAAAAATATTTGTAATTGTGATACATATAAACCAGAGACCGGACTGGGTGTATGAGAATCAGGGCTGTGCGTCATGGCGTTTGGCGTTTTGGCGTTAATTTTGGCCGATTTTTGGCGTTTTGCGTTTGGCGTGATTTTCCGATTTTGGCGCGCCAAACGCCAGAAATATACACCCCTAATGCTGGAAATTTTTTAAAATAATCGGTAGAATGAACGATCGAGAAAGGAAATTTTTCTGCTTACAGTCTTCCAAAATTCTCAAAATTTTCGCCTGCCGCGCATAAAAATGAAAAAATCTACTGCTTGAACTTCCAAAATTTTCAAAATTTTCGCCTGCGGCGCTTAAAGCAGGAAGCCCTTATCTTAAACTAATACTTCCATCATGGTAGAAAAAAACTTTAGCTCCGTCAACCATTTACTCTCTTCAAGACCTATGTTATTCTTATTACCCAGTTTATGCCTCATATCCACCTTAATCTCAAGGGGTTCTACCCAAATTTTTCCTTTTCCTCATTTCGGGGTATAGGAATTCTCCCCATTTGCTAGGGCCTGCTTCCTGGTCTTAATTCAAAAAATTTTCAAAAACTCTTCCAAATTTTCGCATCCGGCGGTAAAAGGATGAATTCTTGCTTCTGGGAATCTTGAAAATGAAAAAAATTTCGCCTGCGGCGCTAAAATGACATGAAAAGAGGTTTTTGAGTCTTTATAGACTCTAAAAATTTTGGCGTTTGGCGTCTGGCGTTTTGGCGTTAATTTTGGCCGATTTTTGGCGTTTTGCGTTTGGCGTGTTTTTAAAATTTGAAAAATTGGCGTTTGGCGTTTGGCGCGCCACGCGAAAATTTTGGCGCACAGCCCTGATGAGAATCGAGATCTCGAAAAATTCTAGACCTCAATAACCGAAATTTTCGGGCGAGATCTCATCTCGGTCTCTAATATAAACTACAAAATAAATAATAAGATAGTGAATTGTAGAATTAATTGCAGTTGAAATTGTGAACTTTAGGAGTCCATGAAAGGAAAGATTTTAAAATAAAAATTTAAAAATATTTTGATTTTCAATAATAAAACATCTGAAAATATAAAATCTCGAAATATGGTTAACAAATTCAATCAATTTGTTAATTTTCATATTCCTTGAAATTTGAAAAAAATCTTAAATTCAAGTAAATAATATAAATTTAGAAAGGCCATGAAAATGAGCATTTTAAATGATGAAGATAAAAAATTTGAAATGATTAAATTTGAAAAATTGAATTTCTAATTTTAAATATTGAATTATAAAATTTTTCATGAAAAAAGATTTTTAAAATTAAAAGTTGGAGGTCAAATGAATGTAATCATTTAAAAATAAAGCAATATTCTGATTAAAAATTGAAATAAAAAATTTCTCAAATTTTTTTACTAAACACAAATCGGGAAATTTTATGGACTTTTGAATAGCCAAATAATGTCAGATTTTTATATTAAACCTAAATTTGGCAAATTCCATATAATTAAAAACAAGACATTTGCAATCTCTTCTAAAATATTTACGAAAACAAAAACAATGAGAGACAAATAAATTTGACATTTGATTACTCTAAAATTTTTAAAAATAAAATCTCGAGTAAAAATTAACAAAAAAAAGTTTGTTTTTCAATTTTCAAATGTCACACATATTAATCAATAACAACAAAAAACGGTAATAGTGAAGATCTGGGACACACTTTAAATTTTGCTATTTTTTCTGAAAATCATTTTAGATAAGTAATCGACCATACTGATCACGAATCTGATATCAGATTTTGTCAGGAAAAATCAAAGAAAAAAGATGGGCATGGTTCAAGTAGGCGCGTGGCCAAGTAGGCCTCAGCTATAACTAGCTGGAAAATTACTAAATTTGATGATTCGGAAATCTTGAAGCCTACTTGGCCACGCGCCTACTTTTTTATTTGATTTTTCCTGAAATCTGACATCAGCTTCGTGATCAACATAGTCGATTACCTATATAAAATGATTTTCAGAAAGAACAAGCAAAATTTTAAAATGTATCCCAAATTCTTCACTATTACCCAAAAAAACAATTAAAATAAATATATAATTAATTCATTGCCCGCCTACTATTATTAGTTGCCATTTGTTGTTTACGTTGTTGTTGTGTTTGACTTAAATGTCCATTATTAATTCCTCCTTTTCCACTCCCACCAGAATTCCCTCCTCCTCCTTTTTGTTTTGTTTTATTTTGATGAATAAATTTTTGTTGTTCAATAATTGTTTTCTCCAAAAATTGTTTTGGGGCTGGATTTTGATTCCAAATTTTAATTGCTTCTTCTTTGTCAATTGCTTGTTGTTGTTGTTGATTATTGTTGTTACGATTGGTAAATGGACTAATAATTGTAATTGGATTTTTCCAACCAAGTGAAGTCAACAGATTTTTGGGTATTCGCTTCTAAAATAATTAAAAATTTAATTAAAAATGCCGGGAAAAATGATATAATATATATTAATCCAAAAGACGAAGGGCGTATCCAGGGGAGAACCTCCCCCCTCCCCAGAAATGAGGAACGGGGGAAAAATTGGAAGTAGGATTTTCGCCTGCGGATAAAAATCGACCCCTGAATCGACCCCCTGATTACGCCCTTAGATAATTCATAAAAATAACCCAGCCAGAAATAAAAAACTAAAAACTTACAATTAAAGGAGTTGTTTCAATTTTTTGTTTCCATAAACGCTTCTTCTCCTCTACTTTTGAAGAAGTCCATTTAGCTTTAATATTATCTTTTCCTTCTTTCTGTTTAATAACCTGCTTTTGTTGATTATTATTGTTAGTGTCCTTATTTTGTTGTTCTTCAATATTTTTATTTAAAATTTCCTTTTCTTCTTTTAAATGTTCCTCTTTAATTTTTTCTTCATCAATATCCTTATTTTCATTTTCTAAAATTTTAACTTCATTAATAGATTTATTGGTGTCCTCAATTATATCTTCTTGCTTTGGTTGATTTTGTTCCTAAAATATTATATTACTATATGTTATTTATCTTTTACTAGACTCTTATAATGCTTGTAATAAATTACTAGTGCCTAGGGAATTCGAGTTTGCCGGACCCGAGTTTGCAACCTTAACCAGACCGAATCTGGCCGGATTTTTCCAGATTAATCCGGTCCGGAAAAAATCCTAAAATCTTTGGACCGGAATTGAAATTGGGACCCGGAATTGACATTTAGGGAATTGACACTTTTTCAATCTCAAGTATTTATTATTAAAATTTTTAAATTTAATTTTATAAAACAAAAAACAAACATCAACAGTATCCAATTCAATTTCAACATCCATTTCCTCATCAACATCCATTCCAACAACATTCCCATCCAAACTATTACTCGTATTTGAAGCATGTTTATCAACATTAATTGGAGTATTTATTCCATTATTTGTTTGTTTATTTTTGTTTTGTTGTTGACGAGGCTTTACAAAAAATATTCAAAAATATAAAAATTAAAAAAAACCTTCTGTTTTTGTTTCTTTGATTGTTTTTTTGTTGAAGAATTGCCATTAATTGATGAATTATTAGAAGCAATAGAAGTCCCAATATTAACTCCATTTCCAGGACTTGTAGCCTTTTGTGAACGTTGTTGAGACTGTTCAAAACCCATTGCCTTCATAATAACATCAACATCCTTATGCCCAACATAACCTTAAATTTGTAAGAATTTTTAAAATTATTTTTTAAAAATTACCAGGTTCATCTTGCGGCTTAATAATTAAACTTTTATCCTTAGAATTTTGTTTTCGACGTTTTTTAAGAGTCCTTTCACGATCTATTTGATTTTGTCGATTTTGAGGAGACAAATTCTGTTGCGATAAATACTGAAAAAGTTCAGGAAAAGGTGAAAGTTAAAATCGTAAAAACAAAAAAAACTAACAAAAAGTTGTGGATCATTACGATCAAATCTATTCCCATCGAATATTTGAATTCGATCATTTCCCAAAGTTGTAGATGTAGTCGTAGTTGTTGTGTTTGAAGTAATTGATGGAGCTATTGTAGTGATTGTATTTATACCAATATTATTTAATTTTGAAGTTAAATGTTCTTTTTCAATATTTTTGTTATTTTGATTGCTTTGATATAAAGGCCAATTATTGTTAGGCTAAAAAAATATTTTTTATTTAAAAGTCGTATGTAACTCTTATCAAAACATTGGGAATGTCGAAAAAATGTTTTGAAAATTAGAGGAAAATCAATATAAATAGGGTTGCCGTTTTCGAGTCGGGCCGACGGTCGAGACATTTTTTTCGGGCTTGTTTTTATCGAGTCGGGCCGGTACGAGTCTTTTTCGGGCCTAACATCTAGGCCTGACTCGATCTTTCGGTCCAAGTTGGTCCATTTTGGCAACCTTGTTAAATATAATATACACTTCAAATTAGGATATTTCAAAATCAAAAAAAGATTGCCCATTTTAAATTACCTCAATTTTATTTATTCCTTTCGTCTCCAAAGCTCGCCCTTCTTCAACAAGATTCCAAACATCATTATTAAAATTCTTAATTTCCGAGTCATTTCTAGCTCCATTACAATCCCCATAACCACTAATTTTAAGTTTTGGCAAGTCAAGATTTTCTTGGATTTTATCATTTAATAAAGGCAAACAATCTAAAAATTAAAGTCTTACAAATAAATATAAAAAACCAAAAACCTCCAGATTGAAATCGATCGGCTGATAAAAATCCATTTTGTCCATAATCGATGTCATGCTCCTAAAACGAAAAAAAATTGAATAGAAAATAATCCAGTTTTCTCGATTTTTGTAGACTTAATTTTGGAAAAGTTTAACATATTTCCCGGCTTTTAGCGCCACCCAGGAAATTTTTTTAATTTAAACAAGCGGCACTACTGAAGAAAAGGGTGCTTTTTCTGCGGACTTATTTTGCGGACTTTTCCTTTCTTTTAAATGTTTCTTTTTTTAATGTTTTGTTTGTCTTGCTTGTAGCAAGTTTTGCTTGTAGCAACTAACGGTCAAAGGATTGATTTTTATGTCAATTTGAAAAATATGTGTTCACCATTAATTTGAACATTATAAACGTTAAAATTGACTTTAACTATATTTTCAATTTTCAATTACCCGATGATGAATTTCAACAATGGATCACTGATCTCGGAATGCTTCATAGAAAAAGAATATGTGATTGTGGACAGAAATTCATAATTTTTACACAGAAATTCATAATGTTATACACCAAATCAATTTTATTTAATTCTTTTTTGGTTTAAATTGTTTTCGAAGGCAAAAAATAAGTGTATGACTATGTATAAAATTAATCTTCTCTTTATCAATGTCTCTTGTTTGAATATGCCACAGAGCAAATAGAGGAAGGAGAGGAAGAAGAAAATCTGACCTTTATGTACAATCTTAGGTAAGAAAAATAATAGGGGGGAGGACCTTTGACAGTTAGTTGCTACAAGTAAAACATTTAAAAAGAAAGGAAAAGTCCGCAAAAAAAGTCCGCAGAAAAAGCACCCTTTTCTTCAGTAGTGCCAAACAAGCCAGGAATCCGTTTTCTTCGGACAATTTTTCCGAATCAGGACCAAATAATTTAAAACTTTACATTGTCAACAGCAAAATAAATATTTCCAGTCAACTCCTTTATAGAATCTAAAGCTTTATTTTCTTCAGCAGTTTTTTGAATATTTTCCTGAAAATAAATTTTTTGGAAAACAATCTTAAAAAATTAAAATAAAACCTCTTCCTTTTCTGGGGTCAAACGAGTTACAGAATTTGCTGGCGGTCCTGCTTGCTGAATTAAACGCATATACAATATTTCTAATAAATATATAAAACAATTATTTATAAGAATATATAATCTAAAATTGAAAAAAAAATTATTAAAAATTTACTGGAAAAAAATATTTCATTAAAAGGTTATTAAAGATCGCCAAACAACAAAATGGAAAAAAGAAACATTTGAGTATAAGTCAGAATTAAAGACCGGCGCGGGACAGGATCCCGCGCGCGCGCGAGATTTTGCGGGATCCCGTCCCGAAATCCCGCACTTTTTTCGATTTGCGGTAGTTTGCGGGAGTGCGGGATTTTTTGGGATATATCCTGCGGGATAACGTCCCGCAAAGATTTTAAAAAAATCCCGGATGCGGGATCCCGCGAGCGCGATTTTGCCGGTCTCTAGTCAGGATTTATTAAGTCCCTAAATTTTTATTTTCTTGTCTTTTGTTAAAATTAAAAGACAAAGAAAATAACAAAATAATAAAAAAAATTGGAAAGTCAATTAAGTAGTGAAATTTAAAGCTTTTATAAATTTCGAAAGAAATTATTCTCATAAGAATGAACTTTGTATTTTCGCGTAAAATGATGAAAATTAGACCACATGGTTAGATATTTGTAATCATTTTAAATCAATTTGGACTATAAAAAATATATTTTTTGTTTACTTATTGATAAAACAGAAAATTTGTTCTGTCAAAGAAATAAATGTATACAATCTTTCGATTAAACTTTAGCAAAAAAAAAAAAGAAAATTATTCCAAAAAAATAAAAACAAAAATATTTTTAGACAAGTTTATTTGACTAAAATTAACTTTTTAGTCAAATAAATGAAATTAAAATTGGAAAATTTGATAAGGAATTTTAAATGAGGTGGTTGTTTAAATATTTAATAGTATACATTCACAGTAATTGTTGCATTAATAATTCTCACTTAATTAAGGGTAATAGTTTTATTTTCTAAAAAGTCGGGTGTTATTGTTAGAATTTTAGGTAAACATTTAGTTTACTAGTCCCTGGAAAAACTTAGCACAGAAAGTGTTCTTTAGTATTCTTTAGATATTTTTGAATTTTGCCACTAGATGATCGAGTGTCTTGACATGATCAGGGATGGTACCGTATCAGGGATGGGACGGGTTGAGAAAAAAGTCGGGTCTCGGGTAAACCGTCCCATTCCTGGTCCGTATATTAGCACACAGCAACTTAAAATAGGCAGAGAGGGCTATAGCATAGAATTTGCTCATTTCGAACCCCGGAACGAACTACCGAATTCTAAGTTAACTTTCTGGACCAATTTTCTTCAGCACACTTACTGGCAGACCAAGAATAGAAAGAGGATTCTCTACACACTTTCCTAGGGACCACTAAACTAGAAAATTACCCAATTTATTAATAAAATTTAAAAAATATTCTAACAAATAAAATATCCCAGCTATTCCATAACACATTTTTAAATTAAAACACGACTAAAATTATTGAATAAAAAATAAAGAGAAAATATTTTTTCTAAATATGGGGAGGGATCGATCTGCGCATCTTTCATTTAATCTTTTTAAAAATTAAACGTGCCTTTTTTTCAAGCATTAAAATAAAATTAAAATTGGGTAATTAGAGTCTCAAATTGAAACATAAAATTTAAGTTGAAGTTTTCGTATAAAACAGATTTAAATAATAACAGATTTAAATTATTAAATGACCAAAACAATGTGACACTTAATTAACTTTTTTTTTAAATTAAAGGGATTTTAATTAAGAATTATTTAACTTTTTAAATGTCACTAAACAACAACAAAAAAAAAACAATTAAAATAATTAATTCATTGCCCGCCTACTATTATTAGTTGCCATTTGTTGTTTACGTTGTGTTTGATTTAAATGTCCATTAATTCCTCCTTTTCCACCCCCACCAGAATTCCCTCCCCCTCCTTTTTGTTTTGTTTTATTTTGATGAATAAATTTTTGTTGTTCAATAATTGTTTTCTCCAAAAATTGTTTTGGGGCTGGATTTTGATTCCAAATTTTAATTGCTTCTTCTTTGTCAATTGCTTGTTGTTGTTGTTGATTATTGTTGTTGTTATTGTTACGATTGGTAAATGGACTAATAATTGTAATTGGATTTTTCCAACCAAGTGAAGTCAACAAATTTTTAGGTATTCGCTTCTAAAATAATTAAAGATTTTTAAAGAATCTTTTTCAAAATTCCAAATAAAATTTCTCTCTTCCCCTCTCCCTCTCTCCCTTTCTCTCTCCCTCCCCTACAAATATAAAATACCTACAAGTAACGGTTCTTCGAGTTCTTTTTTCCATAAACGTTTTTTCTCTTCCAATTTTGAAGATATCCATTTAGGCTTATTATTATTATTAGTTTCTTTTTCTTTCTTTAATTTTGTTGAAGAATTACCATTAATTGATGAATTATTAGAAATAATTAAAGTTTCAATATTAACTCCAATTTCAGGATCTGTATTCTTTTGTGAATGTTGTTGTTGAGACTGTTGGGGCTGTTCAAAACCCATTGCTTTCATAATTTTCCCTAAAAAAATTTTAGAAAATTAATTTTTTAAATATTTATTATTAAAAATATTCAACATAATGCCAATAAAATAAATAAATGTTTGAAAAATACCGTATTTTGTCCATCAGAAACCTCGGAATTGACAAAGAGTTGACAATTATTTACATATTAGATTTTGCAAGGAATTGATGGAAATCCATTTTTGACTTCTCAATGAAAAATGTCAAAAATATCTTTTAGTTTTTATTGTTAATATATGAGCCTGAAATTGTGAGCAAAAGATTTTGCCTTAGCTGCCGAGAATGTATAATTTTGAAAATTTTGTATCAGTCATTTAAAAATAAAATTTGAATTTTATCGAAGAATTTAGAAAATCCATTTATTTTCTAATATATTAAATTGATAATTTTTGTGAAAATTTGTTAAAAATATATTTTTTAATTCTATTTTTTATTAACTTATATTTTACAAATAATTTAAAATTTAAACAAAAAAAATCTTCTCAAAATTTTACTTCTCACAAGAAAACAAAAATAATTCAACAAAATAAAATCCTCTTTTAAATATAGAAAAATCGATTTACGCATCTTCCCTATAAAATATATCCATTTTTACAAAAATCCTCTCTCTTTGTTATTTTCCAAAAGCGGCCTTCAATAATTATTATTAAACAATCTTTTTAATTTTAAAATAATTATTTAAATTAATTAAAAATATCTAAAAATGTTTAAATTATTTAATTTTTTAATTTCTTTTAATTTATTTCTTCTAATTTATTTTTATTTAATTCTTAAAATTTCTGAAGGAGTTTTAATAAATAATAGAAATTATGGGTTAAGACAAAGAAGACAGAACGGTAAAAATAAATATTTAAAAATTTTCTTTTTGAAAATCAAAAATATGTATAAACTTTAATAGCCCCATTTGATGAATTAATTTATGGAGCTCTTCGACTTGTCCGCCCACTCGTTGGAAGTGCAAAATTATTAGCTAATGATGTAATTGTTGGCCAAAATAATTTAAATTTGCCTTCTAAAAATGTTTTTTTATTTAAAAAATATTTTTTAAATTAATTTTTTAAAGTCAAAAGAAATTCAAAGATTATCGTCTTCTCGTTTACGTGAAATTGAAATTCTTGGGACAGGACAAGAAATTAATGAAGAAATTTTAAAAGCAGAAAATAATAATAATGGAAATTCTGGTATTGATAATATACCACAAATATGTCAAGTAAACATATATAATTATTGGAAGTCTTTGAAAGTAGAGTTGGGCGGTATCGGGATCCCGACCAAAAATCTGTATCGGTATTTTGGATTGATGATATCGATCCCGATACCAGCCTTGGTATTAGTGATGTTCGGGTATCCCGACTCCCGACACCCGACTCGGGAAATTTCCCGAGTTTTTGGCCTCCCGATCCCGACCCCGACTCCCGATGTCAATTCCCGACTAAGTCGGGAAATTTTTACACCCCTAAGAATGGCTTTTTCTGATAAAATTTTATTTTTAAAAGGAAAAAATAAAGAGAAAAAAATAAAAAAAGGGAGAGGGAAAATACAATATTAAATTTTTTTCCTAGTTAGCTATTGTTGATAGGTGGTTGAGTGGTTAAGTTCAGTGATTTCAGCTAATTTGATGGGGCTGGGTTCGAATCCAGTGTTGTGAAATGTATGTAATTAATTTTTCCTTCCAAAAATAAATGGTTTTTAACATTCAATTTGATTTTATAATTTTAAAATTATTTTTTTCAATATTAAAACGTAAAAAAACTCTAGAAAAATTAATTTAGTCATGAATTTTCAAAAATGAAGAATAGCGGCGCAGAAAATGAAGAATATCTGGATTCTTGGCCTCAAACTTAAAAAAAGTTTGCTTGCGACGCCTAGGGAGGAAAAATTTGACTTCTTGATATTCCAAATTTAAAAAATTTTCGCTCATTGGCTTTACAATTCTCAAAATTTTCGCCTCCGGCGGTAAATAAAAGAAGTCTGGTTCTTAGACTTCCAAACTTAAAAAAATTTTGCCTGCGGCGCAGACAAAGAATTTGAGATTAAGAGGGATTCAAAAGATTAAAAGGTAAAAAGTCCGATGGAATAGGTGAAAAGTTCCTTGGAATAGTTTGGTTTTCGGATAAGCGGTGAAATTTTGATGGAATAGGTCAAGCCCCCCTCCTCCCCAGCCACAAAATTGGCGAAAGGCAAAGGGCAAGGAATATGGAGATCGGAAAAGTGAATTTTTTCGTCTACGACCTCCAAGTTCTCAAATTTTTGCCTGAAGCGCTGAAAATGGAAGATATCTGGCTTCTTCACTTTACAAAATTCACAAAATTTTGCCTGCAGTACAAAAAAAAAACGGAATTTTTGGCGCCGAAGGCGCCAAAATTTTTTTTATGTGAATTCCCGACTCCCGATCCCGACTCCCGAGGTCATTTCCCGACCCGACTCCCGTTTCCCGATTCCCGGGTTTTTTCTTCTCCCGAACATCACTACTTGGTATTGGTATCAGAAAAACGGTATAGGGATTTAGGTTTCGGGATCAGGAAAATCAGTATCGGAGTTCAAAAAAAACTGGTATATACCGCCCTATACCGGTCTGGATCTCGATACCGGCCAACTCTATTTGAAAGACTTTTCCAGTATTATTCCCCTAAAATTAAAAATATTTAAATTTTAGAATATATTTAAGGGAAATTCCCGTATTTGTAAATTTGTGGCTTGTGCAGCACACAATTTTAAACATGACAGTAATTTTGCTAATATTCAATTAGCTGCTCAACTTCTTTCTGATAAAAAAATGAGAAGAACAATTGGATCGTAAATAAATTTATTTTTTAAAAACTCCCCCTTACTAAAATAATTTTTATTAAAAAAAAAGAAATCCGAGTGCCATAAAAGATGCATGTAAAGAGCACGGGTTAAATAATGGGCAATGTGGATTTATTGCTAAAGCTTTTCAATTAATTGATAAATTTATGAGTACAATAGAAGATAATCAAGATAATCAGAAACAAATAAATAAAATGAGTGATTCTGTTTTGGTTGATGAAAATAATGAACAAGAATTAATTAAAAGGTTAAAAGAGGGTATTTTTAAATTTAGGGGGAATTATTTAATTTTTGGAAATATTCTATTTTTAATGAAAAATATTTAAATTTAAAGAGGCAGAAAAATTGATATTTTATATAATACATACCGTATATCCTTTAATAACTACCCTGTGTAATTATTGTTTCGACCTTCCTCTGCACGGAGTAATTAATCGAGGTAGGGTAAAATCTGAACGTGTTTTAGGGCATTTGTTGGTGGGGGGGGGGGGGGGGTAATTATTGCTTCAATCTATCACTGGATGGGGTAATTAATGTAAGTGGGTAATTATTTGAGGAAGGGGAATTAATATAGATTATACGATTTTTATTTTTATCTAATATTTTTTTACAGACAACAAATGTTATATTTTAATAATTCAACAACAACAAAAAATTCATTTAAATTAAAAGAAGGGGAACAACAAAAACAATTAAATAATAATTTAATTTCAAAAACAGTAAAAGGATCTAGAACTTGGTCTATAAATACAACAACAAATAAACAACCTCCAATAATTACAAATTTATTAAATATTTTAAATAATAAAATAAATGAAAAAGAATTATTAAACGATTCTGGTTTGTTTTTTAAAAATAATTTTAGTGAGAATTTTATTTAATTAAATTTGTATTTTAATAGTAAAAATAAATACTAATAAATTTTTTTAAATATTTAATTATTGTAAATGCTCTCTAATAGAAAACTTGTACCTTATTGTTACATTTTTAATGAAAATTTTTTTATGAAATAATTGTAACGATGATCACTAAATAATTTATTTTGGAGTAACAATCTATTAACATCTTCGGTTGTTTCCTCATATGTTTTTAAAATTATTTTTTTTTTAATTTACTCAAACCATCGTCCATATGTTAAGGCATTATTTTGCCTTCGCTCGGGACTAGCTTTTATTAGGGAGTTCTATTAGATCATTTCTTGCCATATTTTCATTTTAAATTAATTAAAAATAAAATTTAAATTAGATCCGACACTAACAACAATAACGACAACAAAACTTCAGTCAAATATTAATTCTCCAATTATTTCAAATATTCCAGAAGCTGAAGTAAATTTATAAACTTTTTTTTGATAATATAAGAAAATAATTCCTTTGTGGAGGGGATGGGATATTGAATGGAGAGGATATTTTGGAAAGCTTTAGTAATTAATTATAAATCCCATTCTTTGCTATCTTCTGGAATGAGTTCAACTGTTAAATAAATTAATTGTTAATTAATATTAAAACCAAATTTTTTTAATAAAAATAGGAATTTGCTGATGAAGACAGGGAAGAGAAACAAAAAGAAGAAAGGAATAATAATAAATATATTCATGAAGAATATTTAGAACAAAATGAATTAGAAAATTGGTTAAATAAAAGGTTAAATAATTTAATTTAATTTAAATTAATTTTTTGAAGGCTAAAAGATAAAAATATATTTTCTTCTAATGATTATTATGATGAAATTAAAAATGAAAAAAATAAAGAAAAATCAGAGGAGAATTTTGAAAATTTAAATGAAGATGAAAATGAAGAAAAACAAAAAATATTAACAAAAGAAAAAAGGAAAAAAGAATTTAATTTTCCCTTAAATCCTTCAATAGATAATTGTATGGAATATTTGATAAATAGTAGATAGATAATTAATTGTTTTTTTATTATTATTAAATTGAGAATATATATAACAATTAATTATTTTAAACAGACCTGGTAATGGATACAGATACTGATAATTTCAAAATGCCTACGGATACCTTGTATCCGCCGTAAATATATGGTTACAAAAATCCATGTCCATTACCAAGTCTGATTTTAAATATAGAATGGGGAATGTGCTGACATAAAAATTATTCCCAATCTTCGGTAATCGGATAATAAATTTTTCGAATGATAAGTTGTTCTTAATAAGTTTTTTGAACCCAAAATCCCCAACTTTCTATGAAAAAAATTTTTAAAAATAAAAAATTCTTAAAGAAATGGTAGAAAATCTAATTCAATTTTTTCCATTTATTTACGACTTTATTTACAATAAACATACAATATTATAATAAATAACAATACACAAATACATAATTTATCTATACAATAACTAAATATATCCTTTTTATATTTATATATCATCCCTACAAATATATATTTTATTTCTCCCATTTACTACCATTAGCATATTATATTCATCCATTTTTAGCCTCTCACAATATTGAAGAGCCTATAAAAAAATTATTTTCTTTCAAAAAAAATATTTAAATTTACTGTGTAGGAGGACAAGTATTATTTCCCTCTCCAAGTTCCCTAACAAATAATTCAACCAATACATGACTTGACTGTGGATACTCTTGACATAAAATCCAATCATTTCCATCTTCAAATTCGGTGTCAGAAAACAAACTTCGAAGCATTCTAACTTTTCTGGATTCCTTATTTGGTCGAGGAATGTTTTCTTTTCTAATATGTTTTTTGAATTTTTTAATAAATTGTTCAGCAATAAAATAATCTCCATGTTGAATATTTTTTGAAATACTTCCAAAACGATTGTGGAAATAAAGAGAACGAAGATTCTTGAAAAAAGAAAATTTTATTTTTATTGTAAGAAAAAATAAATAAACTTACAGGGCACTCTTTGAATACATCAATTGCAATATCCACCGAAAGAGGAAAGTTTAATTGAAGATGCTGAAAGAGGAAAAATTTTATTTTAATCAGACAATGTTCTTCACGGGTACACCCCAACCTACGCGAGCCCAACCTACCGCTGAGGCTATAACTTCGTTCAAAATTGTCAAATCTGAGAAAACCTGGTATGGTTGGATTCAGCTCGTCGAGGCGTATCGAACCATACAAAGGCGACCCGGATTCGACAATTCTGAAAGAAGTTATAGCCTCGGCCGTAGGTTGGGCTGCGGTAGGTTGGCCTGCTCTCGTTCTTTACCTCCAACTTTTTTTGCTCAAACAATTTGCGGACAAAAGCCATATATTCAGCATGGAAGATTAAAGGATAATTGTCCAGACATCTTTGGAGTTGTTCTTGTTCAAAAGTTTTTACCGATTGATAAATACCCAAACAAAACGAGCGCAAAGAAGGAAATGGAAGAATTTGGTTAAAATGTTTGTGAAGTTGTGTATTTGGATCTTCAACACAAGAAAAGCTTAAATGTTCCAAACAAGGAAACATTTCGGGAAGAAAACGCATAATGATGAACTGAAAAAAGGAAGAAAATTTGAAAAATTAAAGAAAGAAAACTCACAATTTGATTAACCAATCCCAAGTCGAGGGCCGTTAACCGATTCAAATAATTCGCCGGAAACATATCAGCTGGAACAACGTCTTCTGGAAAAACATGAGAAAAAGGAATAGAAAGAACGGTTATGTGTTCATATGCAAGTGCTTGATTGACAACATCCCTCCCTGTACTTTCTACAGAAAGAACAGTCTGAAAAATTAGAATATCTGAGAAGAATCAGAACAAAAAAACTAACAATTCCCGGCGCACGTTGACGAACATTTCGCATAAGTCTAAAAATTATTTGAAATTTTTTGGTTCAAAAATTAAAAAAAAAAACTCACGCTCCGACATGCTCATTCACTTGGAAATCACGCAAACAAAAAATTCGAAGACTTCGAGGCACTTGTTCGAGCTCACATCCTGAAAATTAATTCAGGTATTTTTGTAGTTTCAATAAACTAACTAAAGTTGATATTGTCAGCAATTGCAAGTATTTGAAGTTGTGAAAGTTGTTCCAACATTGAATTGAAGTGACGAACAAGACTGAAGTGCTAAAAATGAAATGGGATTTGTAGTGAAAACATTTCTTCAAAAAACAAACTCACAATTCGGCAGTTTCTGATAATTAACGTTTTGAGCGAAGGCAAACGATCCCCAATTTCCATAATTTCAGAGCCACACAAAGGATTTAGGGAATCAATGCAAAGATTCACGACTCTGTAGGAAAGATCTAGGAGGCGAAACACTCGATCGTTCGATGCCATAGCATGAATAGTTAACTCCAAAGTATAACGAGCACAGCGTTTCATCAGAAGACGGAAAAGCTGACGACCCTAAAAAATTATTTATTTTTTAGTCAAACAAAAATTAATTTTTCCAACTAACATCAATAGAATAACTGCCTTCCTTCACAACAACCTCTGGCACAACCACAACATGACTTTGCGGAACCCAGCTCTTTTTGGATGCTGCACGGAATAGTCGAGAGACATGTTCCATATTGAATCTGTCATTTACGGACATACATTGGAAGCAGCAAGCCTTAAAAACAAAGAAACATTTTTTGCTTAAAAAATATTTTCTCCTACCAAAATATTTTCACCCAACTCAGAAAGCTGAATTTTCTGTGGATTTAGCATTTCCATATTCAGCGTTCCTTGACTTGTAGACTGTTGCTGTTGTTGGAGTTGACTTTGTGTTGCTACTCGACGGGTATATGGGCGTCTATACCAAGTGTAGTAAATCCCATCATCGCCGATTGCCTGCAGCATCTGACCGCGGTGGGACATTATTGTTGTTTTTGACAGGAATAGAAGAATGGAAATTTGACGTTAGAATGATGGAGGGGGTTATTATTAGAGTGTTTATTAGACGGATATAGTTAATCATAATTATAGCCTTTTTATAGTAGGGCTATTTTAAATTAATATTTTAATTTTTCCATTTAAATTCCATTTTTTGTTTAAATTTTTCGTCTTTCTATTAAAAATTAACAAAAAAATTTTTATTTTATTTTCAAGATGTCCCCATAAATATTTTTACATAAAAAATAATTTACATTTTTCAATCAAATTTAATAATACTCAACAAGTTTTACCCCAAAAATTTTGAGAGAGAACCCACTTTCTCGGCACAAAATTGTCAAAGAAAATAACTATTGGTTAAAAGAGAGGAAAAAGTAATTTAGAGAGAAGGGGTAGATGGGAAGGATGTTTTTTTTATTTTTTTACTACAAAATTTTTCCATTTACGTCTTCAAAGGACATTAAAAGCATTTAATTTTCCAATTTTATTTAAATGTTTTTTTTTCGGTATTTTATTTTTTTTAATTTTTTTGTTCATAATTTTAGAGAGAAAATATAGAATAGAGATCGGCCTGGGTCTGGACCAAGGCCTGGGTTTTTCCTGTACCCAGAGTCCATGTCCAGGCATTTTTGACATTCCTGGGTTTTTCCTGGACTACAGACCTAGGATCCAGTCCAAGTCAATAAATGAAACTTCAGAGTCCAGGAACAGGTCCAGGCTTTTCAAAATTTCCGATCTCTAATAGAGAATATTATAATTTAGTTTATTACTGTTGAGAAAAGTTGAATTTTATTTTATCAATTAATTTAGAAATATGATTTTGAGTTTTAAACTTTGCTGGAATTTTATTTTATTTTTTACTTGTATTTTTGGATATCCTTCTAGAATTCCAATACGTAAATAAAATATTTAAATAAAATTAAATAAATTAAATAAATAGAGTCATTCTCAACTGCTGGTGATTTAGCTGTTCTAGCAACTGTATATTTTGAAAGAATTTACCTAAATATAAATTTTTAGTTAAATTTTACTGTTAATCGTCTAAATTCTGGAACACCCAGCACATTTCTGCTTGCACATAAAAACAGGCAACTTCGAATGGCCGTAGATGATAGTTGGGGAATGATTGCAAAAAGTGTTTATTTTAATATTAATTATTAAGAGAGGGACTGTTAAAGAATTCTCTCAAGTTTTCATAAGATAAATCAGTTCTCTTGGCTATTTTAAGAAAAAGGGAAATCACTAGAGGGAGAGAGTAAATCATTAAATTACCCTTATATTCACATTTAAAGTTTGTACTGAACTTCAATCAGGATTTATGTTAATGCTTATGGGAGAGAGTAATCAAAGAAGTCACGAGGTAATTAAAAACCTCCCATTTAAAAATAAATTCTTTAAAAGGCTTATATGTCTGTTGTTAATGCCCTAGAAATTCCATTAATTAATTGGGAATTATCCCCTCATGCATTTTTGCCAAACACGCCAAACAATTTTGAGGCAAGTATAAAACCTCCAAATGCCCAATTATTAGCTGATTTATTGTTAATGAAAGGATGGAATAATTTTGTTTATTTTCATGATTCTGATATTTCTAATAGAGGTTGTTAAAAAGGAAGAAATAAAAATATTTTTTTAAATTTTCTTTAGCAGCACAAAATCTTCGAATGATTTATTTACATTTAAATGGAAGAACAAATAATTCTATTAGTTCAGAAATGTTACAATTACCAAAAGATGTTGAACAATTTGGGGAATTTTTGAGACAATTTAATTTAAAACGTTTTAAATTAAATTTAACAGAAAATATTATTTTGGATACGAAAAATAATTATAGGTAATTAAATAGAGAAGTATTTAGTGGAATAATTTAAAATTTAAAAGACAACAACAATTATTACAAGCAATACGTTCAGCACAATTCAATCAACAAAAATATAATTATGTTGTAGCTAATTATGATTTTTTGGTTTTTAATTTAAATGTAAAAATATTACAATTATTTTGTTTTTAGCCCTATGATGTTGAAATGTTTCAACAAGTAAATTAAAAAAATATTTGGTCTAATTCTTTAATTATAACCCTCACATAAAGAAACTGACTGGCCTAGTACTAGGGTTGGTCTTCGTCCCCGAAAGTCTGGGAATTTGAGAGATTTTTTGAAAATTCCCCGCCCCCTCCCCCCTTGCCGCTGGCTCCCCAAAAATTGTTCCCCGTGGCCCCCCTCCCGTCGGGGACAACCCTACCTATTACATATATTTGTCGCGATATTGGATCTGCAGGGATTTCCCTAGATAAGTCAACTCTCTTTTTGTGGGCACACCCGAAATGTGTCTTGAATAAATTATTTCTTTATTGAGAGGGTTATAATTAAAGAGAGAATTTATTTTTTTAAATAATTTATTTAAAAAAAAGGGTAATATAAACATCACTGGTTTTCAAATAATCGAAAGAGAAAATCGAGAATTTGCTTTACTTAAAAGACAAATTGAATTGGCAATAAAAGACTTAAATGAAAAGCCGGATTTGGATTTGGAAGTTTTTTTAGAAAAAATATTTATTTTTTTCATTCATTTTATTTTGTAAAGACAAGACTAGCCTTTGTGCATGATGCTGTTCTTGTAGCTAAAGCAGCATTAGAGGCTACTTTACGTAAAAACGATTCCCTTTTCAGAAAAAATTTTCGTCATGGAGAGCTTTACAATAAAGTTTTTAATTTTTGATTTTAAATTTTAATTTTAAATTTATTTTTAAAGAATTTTCCTGGAATTTATTGTTATCCAAGTATGGATAAACAAAATTCGAATAGACCATTTTTGACATTTGAACATGGACGTTTAATTTCTAAAGCAATTACGAGTGTTTGTTTAATTAAAATTATTTAAATATTTTTAATTTAAAGTTAAAATTGAGTGGGTCTACTTCGGGTACTTTAAGTGGACAAGTTGAATTTGATCGGGATGGGGTACGCAAAAATTTTTTGGTTACAGTAATTGATTTGACATCAGATACAAAATCTGCATTCAACAAAAAAGAAGTTTAAAAAATAATTTTTATTTAAATTTAAATATTTTTTAAGCTTCTTATTTGGAGACATTCAACAGGATTTTTAAAAGACCGAACAGAGGCACATTGGTTTTTCTAAAAATTAAATATTTTAAATTAAATGTAATTCTCCTAAGGCGACAACAAACACAAAATTCTCGTTCTGGGCAATCTGAGGGGGGACCTAAAAAGATTGTTAGAGTTGTTACTGTAAGAGAGGAAGGGGAAAGAAAAAAGAAATTAAATTTAAATTTTAAGGTAAGGAGTGATCCTTTTGTTATGTTAAAAAGGGAATGTGATCCAGCAAAAGGTGGAAATCAGGTGTGGAAATTAATTTTGAATAGAAAAAAATTAATTAATTAATTAGAATGTGAGTGAATGTAAAGGAAATAATAAATTTGAAGGATATTGTATTGACTTGTTAAATGTTTGGATTTAAAAAAATAAATAAATATTTTTAATTAGCTTTTACATGAACGTAATGAAGAATTTAATTTTGAAATATTTATTTCAAGAAATAACCAATATGGGGCTAGACAGCCTGATGGAAGTATTTTAAATAATTATTTAAATAATTTTTATTTTTTTAGGTTGGGATGGAATTAGTAAATTAATTATTTATTTATTTTTAAATTTAATATTTAATTAGTTGGACACCTTCTTAGAGGAGAAGCCGATGTTTCTGTTGCTTCTTTAACAATTAATCAAGTACTAAATTATTTTATTTTGGAAATTATTTTATTATTTAGGATAGAGAAAGAGTTGTTGATTTTTCTAAACCTTTTCTAACTACAGGGATTAGGTAGAGTATATATTAGAGATCGAGATTTTTGAAAAGCCTGGACCTGTTCCTGGACTCTGGAGTTTGATTTATTGACCTGGAATGGATCCTGGGCCTGTAGTTCAGGAAAAACCCAGGCCTAGGAAAGACCCAGGAAGGTCAAAAAATGCCTAGACTCTGGGTACAGGAATAACCCAGGTCTTTGTCCAGGTCCAGCTCGATCTCTAGTATATATTTTTTTGATTATACATAGTAAATCCTTTTTTCTCTTTTTAAGTATAATGATTAAAAAGCCTGACAAACAAGGTTAATTTTTTTTTAAAAATTCTTTTTTTATTTTTCTTTTAAAGAATTTTCTGTTTTTTCCTTCATGGCACCTTTAAGTAGCGAAATTTGGATGTAAATAAAATAATTATTTTTTTAATCTTAATAATTTAAAGGTATATAATATTTGCTTATGTTGGGGTTTCTGTTGTTATTTTTTTGGTTTCTCGTTTTTCTCCATATGAATGGAGAGTAGAGGAAATGGCTAATGGGGGATTTACAATATCCAATGATTTTTCTGTTTATAATTGTATGTGGTTTACTTTGGCTGCTTTTATGCAACAAGGGACTGATATATTACCTAGGTAGGAGTTTTTTATATATAAATTAGAAGGGAATGCTAGTTGATTGACTGTAAATATACTTTATCATTGATTCTAAACATTTTAATAAAATATATTTGTTTTTAGATCCATTAGTGGACGTATTGCTTCAAGCGCTTGGTGGTATGTTGTTTAACGAATTTTTAATTAATACTTTTATTTTTTAGGTTCTTCACAATGATTATAGGTATTTAATAAAATAAATGTTTTTATCAAAAATTTTTTCTAATTTTTTGTTTCTTCTTATACTGCAAATTTGGCTGCCTTTTTAACCTTAGAAAAAATGCAGGCGCCAATTGAGAGTGTTGAAGATTTAGCCAAACAAACAAAAATAAAGTATGGAATACAAGCAGGTGGATCAACTGCACAATTTTTTAAGGTTCTCAAAAGAGTTTTTGGGGGGAAATATCTTACCTAATTGGAGTACCTCTTGATTAGAACGACAAGTAACCCTCTACTAATAGATACATACACGCCCTCAAGCTGCCTGAATGTTTCCATTAGATAAAATATTTAAAAAATAATTAATTTATTTTCAAAGTATTCTTCCGTTCAAATTTATCAAAGAATGTGGCGTTTTATGGAATCACAAGTATAAATAATAATCTTTATTTTTTTCCAAAAAATTTATGTAGGTTCCCTCAGTTTTTGTTAATTCTTATGCTGAAGGGATTGAACGTGTTCGTACACACAAAGGGCGTTATGCTTTTCTTTTAGAGGTTGAAAGAAGAGAAATTAAAATTACAAAAAAATACATTTTTGAAGGCAACTGCAAATGAATACGCAAATACACGAAAACCTTGTGATACAATGAAAGTTGGGGCTAATTTAAATAGTGTTGGGTATGGGGTTGCTACTCCTTTTGGAAGTGAATGGAAGTTGGGAGGGAAAGAAAAGAATTTAAAGAAAAAAATAAATATTTAGGGATGTAATTAATTTAGCAATTTTGGCTTTACAAGAATTGGGGGAACTTAAAAAACTCGAAAATAAATGGTGGTATGATAGAGGACAGTGTGATCAAGGAATTACAGTTATTTTTAATTAAAAGAGAAATTAAATTAATAAAATAATTTTTAAAAAAGGATGGGTCTTCTGCAAGTTTAAATTTAAGTAAAGTAGCTGGAATATTTTATATTTTGATGGCTGGAATGGTTTTTTAAATTTAAAATTTTTTGAAAAAAATATAATATTTTTTAGATAGCCTCAATGATAGCTGCTTTAGGGGAATTTCTTTACCGTTCGAGAATTGAAGCAAGAAAATGGCAAATTACTTCTATGGTTAATTAAATATTAAATTTAAATAAAAACAAAACACTTTTCTGTAGCAAAATCTTCGTGATTCTCTCTGTGATCAACTTAAACTTTCTTTACAAGGGAATGCTTTAATTAAAGATGGCTCTGCCCACGAAATGTTAAAAAAACAAAAAGTTCCAATCTCTAATAATTATATTTTATTTAATTTTCTTTTAAAGATTTCCTCTTTACTTCCAGCGAATTATTCAGATCCAGGTCTACAGCCATTTACTGGAGCTGGATTAACCCCAATAAATCCTCGTCAAATACCCCCACCCTATTCAAATAAAAATTCGGATGTTGATCAGAGAAAGAATAATTCTGGACATCGACAGAAAATTCAAAGGCCATACAACACGGCTGTTTAGTTAAATATGAAATACCAGAGATCTTTTAATAGATTAGGGGCTGTGCTTTATCGTAAAATATCTCCTTCTATTGGGAAGTGCTTTACGATAAAATATTTAAATAAGCTTTAATCTAGATTAATTATATCTAGAATTATTTAACAAAGTTTTTTTAGTTTTTACAAATATTTTTAGTTTAATAAATAGAAAAAACATCTCATTATATTTTTAGATTAAAATATACCTAAATGACTCATTTGTCGAAAAAAACAAATACTTGACTTTTAATTAATTATAAAAATATTATTTTAATAGAAAACAGGTAATGTTCTCTTCGAATTTTCCCTATAATTTTTTTTCTAAAAAATGTTTTTCTTTCTCCATATATCCTCCTTTTTGTCCTTCAAAACTGATGGCCGTTTGAGTAAAAATATTTTTGGATAAAAAAGAGATGCGATGAAGGCCGTCGATCACCTCTACATATGTATTACCAACCTTACAAATATTTAAAGCTGGATGGCCATTAAATAGTAGTTATTCGCTTCTTCTTTTTCTCTATAAATATAACCGATCGCGCACGAAGATTCTTTTCGTTGAAAATTTTTTTCCTCATTCCCCTGCCTACTTCTCACTATTATTTTTACATATTTCTGTTCAATCCTGAGGGATTTGCAAGCTTTTTCTAAAGATGAGATAGAAAAAGGTTTAATATGAAAAGCATTTTTATTGATCCAATTTTTGATCATTTAATTCGAAATTCTCTTAAAAATCAACAATTTTATTTTTAAAAAATATTCAAGGACATTTAATTTTTAATTATTTTCTAAAAAAATATTTATTTATTTATTTTAACCATTAAATTACACAAAATCCAAAAATAGTTAGCGACAAAAAACAGGAAATCCTCAAAAAGAGGTCAAGGCCCAAAAACAAGTCAAGTGCGCAATTAAGAAGAAGAAAAAAATATTAAAATATTTTAGTTGACGTAGAAAAGGGGGGAATTTAGTAATGGACATTTATTTATTTAGAAAATTATTTTTAGAATTTAAATTACAAAAATTTGAATTTGTTTTTTAAATTTAAGTATTAAAAATATAATTATTGGCTAACACAAACTTTCCAATAATTTTTTATAATTTATTTTTAAAAATTCAAAAAATGAGAAAAAAGAATTTATTATTTAAAAATAATTTAATTAAAATAATATTTATTCAATTATTTTCTTTTATTTTAATATTCCCAATTTTTGTTTTGTTTAATTCTTCTGTAATTGCTATTCCAATGATAAGAGAAAATAATAATTTTAATAAAGAATTAGAGGAATTTAAAAATTTAGATATTTTTGAAAGGAAAAATGTTGAAGGTTTGGAATTAAAAAATATTTTTGTATATTTTTGGATTTTTGGGAAATTTTTATATAAAAATTTTGGAGAAAAATTATCAAGAAAATATATATAACGGTTACCGGGTTTTGTTCGTATTTATTTTGGGAGTATTTTACGTAAACTCGCCAATTATTTATTTAAAATATATTTGTAGCGTAGTTTTGAAAATTTTCCCCCTATATGTATAGTTCCGAATTAAACTTTTTATACATATACTCATTTTCTCGATCACATCCCTGATATAACGCATATACTCCAATAATTACCCTGGGTAATTATTGTTTCAATCTCCCATTGGAGGGGTAATTAATAGAGCATTTACGGGAAATTAAATACTATATAATTTAATAAAAAATTATTTTTTTAATTAAAAAATCTCAGAATTAAAACCCCCAAAACCACCAACAAATTCTGGAGGAAATATTAATTTATTTAGTGAATTAATTGAAAATTTAAATAAATCAGATTTTGTACAAATATTTATTAAAATGTTGAAACAAATAGAAGAAGCATTGAAACAAACTGGAAATTCAAGTTTTTCAAAAATTATTTAAAAAAATAATTTAATTTTTAGAAAATCAAAAAATTGAAAGAAATGTTGAAAGGAGAAGTACTTCAATTAATGAAAAAAGGAATAATCAACAAAATGTTTCTTTTTTAATTAAAATATTTTTTTAAATTAATTTTAAAGGCAATTCCTTCCAACTTTACTCGCCAACTTTTCCCTCCCTTTTCTCCTCCTCGAAGTCCAACAATAAATAAAAAATCTCAGAAAGACGAAAAAATAAATATAAATTTTTCTGAAGAAATAAGTGAAAGTATTGATGCTAAACCGTTGATAATTAAAAGTTTTGTTAATTTTATTTTTTAAAATTATAATTTATTGAAAAGTTAAGAGGAACTAAATAAATCCTCGGCTGCATTAAATAATCCTCATCCTTCTCCTGCTTCTATTCATCAACAGCCAAAATTGGTAGACGGAATGGCAACAATATTAAAAGAAGCTTTCAGTAATTTAAAAAATTTTAAAATTAAAATTAAAAACACTTAAAAGATAACAAAGAATGGAAGAATTCTTTATTTGGCAAAAGTGGGTTGCTCACAGAAATTTTTAATTTTGTTAATGACAAAAGAAAAGAAGAAATTGCAAAACAAACAAAATTAAATTCTTCCCCTATTTTAATTTGTAAATATTTAATTTTAATTTTAATTTAAATTTAACTAGCTAACAACAATAATAACAACGATTTTACAAAAATTTTGGATGTTTTACTTGGCAGTCCACAACAAAATGGAAAATTTGAAGAGCCCCAATTACCAGAAATTCCGTTTTTAGGTATTTGTAACAGAATTAGTTGTGCTGATATTTATAAAGCTTTGGATGAATTTAAAAGAAGTGAATTCTTTTCTAATTTTCAAGTAAATTTTTGTGAACTTGAAAAGAATATTTAATTTAAATAGACAGCAATATCTTTATTAAATGACCCAAAAGGTTTTGATATGATTGGTGAATTATTAGCAAATCCAGATCTTTTGGAGACTTTTACAGGACCAGAAAGTATTTCACAATTATTTGGAAGAGGAAATAATAACAATAAAAATAAAAAAGAATTTATTAAAGGAGAAGACAAATTAATTGAAATTGCTGAAAATAAAGTAAAAAATACTGTATTTATTCAAATAATTACCCTTTTACCCAATCCCCCTTATTAATCCCCCCTCCGACTTTGAAACAATGGGTACAGCCCAAGTAGGTGCGCGGCTATACCAAACAAATCCATAACTTGTTTCAAGGCTTCCGAATCCTATCAAATTTATATAAAACGATTCTTCTCATCGACCTAAAGAAGTTGGTACCAAAATTAATTTAGGTCAGAAATTTTCCAACTAGTTATGGCTTTTCGCCGTTATGGCCGCGCACTTACTTGGGCGTGTCCCGAAACAATAATTACCCCATTAAAAAAATGATTATAATTAGACTTTCTAAATAACCTCAAATAACCCCTTAATAACCCCCTCCAGAAAATAATTAAAATAATAGTTCCCTTCATCGAATAATTAAAACAATAGTTCCCATGGTAATTAATTGAGTAGATAAATATATTTATTTTTAAATTAAAAATTTAAAAAAGGATGATGAAAACATTGGAATAGATTTTTCTTCAACAAACGAAGAAACAAATAAACCAAAAATATTATTTTCAATTGATGGAAAAAATAAAAAATCAGAAGATTATTATTCGAATTTAGAAGAGGAAAAAGTGGAAGAAAAAGAAAAAATTAATTTAAAAATTCCAAAAATAATAAAAGAAGAAAATATAAAAAATGAAGAGAAAAAGAAGGAAGAAAAAGGAAAAAATATTGAATTGCCGGAAATTGCCGAATCTATTGATGCAAAGCCGATATCTTTGGATGAAGGTACAAAAAATAAGGGGAAAAAATAATTGATTTGATAAACAAACAATTCAGTTTCAAGTAAAGTAGACCGAGGTCGAGCCTCGGCCATTTTCCAATCTAGGTCTCGGATCGGCCAGCCTCGATCTCGGTCATATGTAGTCATAGCCAAGAGCCTCGCCTACTGATGCTCGCGCTACTCTAGCTTTTAGTAAAAATTTTTTTCAATATTAAAATAACATAAAGAACAAGTAACGAACCAGAAAATAATAAAATTTTTACGGTAGCCCCAGTCATTAATTTTAAAAAAATTTGATTAATTTTCAGAAGATGAATTTCCTGAAGGACAAATTATTTTAGAAAAAAGTGAAATAATTCCTTTAAAAACAAATAATAACAACAAAACAAAAGAACAACAAATAATTATTTTTTCTAAAAAAGAAAAAGAATTAAATAAAAAAAGAAATGAAGAAGCAGAAATAACAACGAAAACAACAACAAAAATATTTTTAAATCAAACAAATGAAAATAAACAAAAATTAAAGACAAAAACAACAACAACACCAATAATGACAACAATAACTAGAAGGCAAGAAAATATTTAAAAATAAAAATTGTTGGGGTTACTTTGAGGAAGCTAAAATTTTATTTAAAATTTGTCTTAGCTTTGGTTTTGGAGTCTCGAGATATTTTTTTTCTCATATTCCATACATAAGAGAATTAACGTGGAAGTTCTTTCAATTAAAAGCAAAATTAAAATTATTTATTCTAAAAATTCTTTGAAAAAAAATTTTTTTAGAAATTTCCGAAAGGACGATGACTACTATTCAATGTATTATGATAATAATGACGATGTTAATAAAATTAGAAAATCCTCAAAAAATAGCAGGAATAGAAATAAATAAAAATTTTTGAAATTAAATATTTTTGTCTCTTTTTTGTTCATGTACATATTTTTTATACATTTAAAGTTAACAACTAAATAAACATGTAAAATAGAAAACTTTAGGTATATTTGACATAGTAATAAATGTACTAGCATTTTTAAAAAAAAGGATCAAGAGAAAACAAATAATCTAATCTTTTTATTGTTTAAATGAATAATTTGGCCTTTCTAAAACTAAAATTAATGCAAATTGAAGTTAATTTTAAACGATCTTCCATCCCTGATTTTTTTATAAAAAATTGAAAGAAAAAAGGAAAACCGGAAACATGATTTCGAACCGAACGGTAATAAAAATAATTTTTGTAATTAAAAATTTCCGGTTTTCAATTTTTAAAACAGAATATATTTGGGTAATCCTAAAGATCATTTGTCCCTAGAAAAAATGAGCAAAAATGCCTTTTAGATATTTTTGAGAGTTTCCAGTAGGTAATCGAGTTAACTGAGTCCGAATCGAGTATTAAGTGTTTACTTTTAAAAAAATTTTTTCTGATTTTAGGCCAGGCAACAGTCCGTAATTGTCTGATTCACAACAACAGCTGATGAATCTCAAACTATTGCAAGTTCAATTATTCCACCAGGATCAGACGGTGAATTCTTCAAAGTAATGACATTAAAGGCAATCGAATTTGTCGAACAGAACAATATGCTGTCAAACAGCGTTTCTCAATTATGATTGGAATGATTATTTTTGGTGATCTCCTCTGCTGCAACAATTAGCAGTGTGATTTAATTAAAAATAAATAAATATTTAAATAGATTTTTTATTAAATATAGCCAAAAATATAAACAATTCACCATTAATTCAATCTGTCCATCATTTAAAGACTGTCCATCACCGCTGTTTGAGAGCGCATTACTCTGTTCGACATTAGGGATAGCCCTAACTGCAAGTACTTTGAAGAACTCTCCTTCAGTTCCAGGAGAAATAAGTGTGATTGCACTAGTTATAGATTCATCGGTTGCTGTTGCGAAGCATACCATTATGTTACTGATGCATGAAGGGCCGTCCTAAAATCAAAAAAATTTCTTTAATAATAACCATTTAATACTAGACGAATAACTCCGATTGTTTTTGTGGAGTTTTGTTTTACGAAGCCATAAACCTCTTTGAACTTGTAGTAAGCGTTGTTGAAACATTTTATTTTAAAGGCCACTTTCTGAAAAAAATGAGGCTAAAGTTCGTGGCCTTTAAAATAAAATGTTTCAACAACGCTTACTACAAGTTCAAAGAGGTTTATGGCTTCGTAAAACCAAACTCCACAAAAACAATCGGAGTTATTCGTCTAGTATTAAATGGTTATTATTAAAGAAATTTTTTTGATTTTAGGACGGCCCTTCATGCATCAGTAACATAATGGTATGCTTCGCAACAGCAACTGATGAATCTATAACTAGTGCAATCACACTTATTTCTCCTGGAACTGAAGGAGAGTTCTTCAAAGTACTTGCAGTTAGGGCTATCCCTAATGTCGAACAGAGTAATGCGCTCTCAAACAGCGGTGATGGACAGTCTTTAAATGATGGAAAGATTGAATTAATGGTGCATTTTTTATATTTTTGGCTATATTTAATAAAAAATCTATTTAAATATTTATTTATTTTTAATTAAATCACACTGCTAATTGTTGCAGCAGAGGAGATCACCAAAAATAATCATTCCAATCATAATTGAGAAACGCTGTTTGACAGCATATTGTTCTGTTCGACAAATTCGATTGCCTTTAATGTCATTACTTTGAAGAATTCACCGTCTGATCCTGGTGGAATAATTGAACTTGCAATAGTTTGAGATTCATCAGCTGTTGTTGTGAATCAGACAATTACGGACTGTTGCCTGGCCTAAAATCAGAAAAAATTTTTTTAAAAGTAAACACTTAATACTCGATTCGGACTCAGTTAACTCGATTACCTACTGGAAACTCTCAAAAATATCTAAAAGGCTCATTTTTTTCTAGGGACCAATGATCTTAAGGATTACCAATATTTGTAACATTCAACAAGTCAGACCGACACCACCGTAATGTCCATCGACTGCAAACTAGGGCTGGAAGATCGTTTAAAATTAAAAATTTTAATGTCACTAATTTTAGTTTCCACCATTACAGGAAAAAATCTTGGTAAATGTTTTAAAAAGGCGTTCGTTAGTGTTGCTTAAAATACTAGTAATAGAATATTAAAACTAATACTAAATAAAATATTAAAGACCCTTATATTATAATTTTTAAATTTGTGCATCTTTGCATCTTCAAAATTGCCCGTAAATGAAGAAAAAATAAAATTTTTAAAATTTCTTTTTCAATGTGTCCTGACTGGCAATGGATGTGCTTCTGTATTGAAAATCCATTTATCAAGAGGTATATCTGGATTATTTTGTTGATCATCAGCAAAAAGCAAATAAAGATATTTTAATGACTAAAAAGAGAATAAAAATTATTTTTAAAAATTAGAATATTTTATTACCTCTCCTAAGAAAAAAGATTCCATCATATCCTTTAAATGTACAGGTATTCTCTTTACATTTTGAACAGAAGAATATCCTCCACTCTCAACTTTTGCATATTGTTCAATTGCTTTAAATGCATTCCATCCCCATTCTTTATATATAGAATCACCAGTTATTCTATGTAAATAAAACCAAGCTTCAAATGCTTCCGGACGGAGAAGACTATGAGCATCCATCGATTTAATATATAAATCAGGAGGAAGTTTGGTTTCTATAATAGAAAAAGAAATTGAATAAATTAGATGAAATGGTTATCTGAATTTTGGGAGCGAAAATAAATTATATATCAAAATAAGTACATAGTAACGATGTGAAATTAAATGGAGGGCGCATTGAACTTTGCGGATTCAATTTGCGGACCCGATTTCCGTTACAGAATCATGTCAAATTCTGCCGGAGTCCTCGAAAATAAGTTTTATTTTCCCCTTTTTTCTCAAGTATTGGTCCTAAAATTTTGAGTCCGAAAAATTCTGATCCGAAAAGTTCGCGCCACGGAATGGAGAGATCTGAAAGGAGACCATATGCTTAAATTTTACAATGATAAAAAGGAAAATTGAATCCGATTAGAGGAAAGAAGCTTTGAGGAATCCAGAGACTACTTAAATTTTGCCAGGATTTAAGATAAAATCTTGATATACCCAACCTTCATTATCAGTAGTCTTTTTATTTTCTTCATTCTCAATAATATTAAACCAAGCAATTTCAGGTCCTAATCCTGTAGGATTTTCATACATTGCCTGACATGTTTGAGAAAGATTTTTAGCAATTTCCAAATGTATAGAGGGCATTCCATGTTGAGTACCAAGTGCTAAAGTGCCAGCAAGAAAACAAACTAAATGGTCCATTTTTGGAGAAAATTTAATTAAAGAATTTGATGATTCCGTTGTTTGTTCTCCTGAGAAAAAAATATAAATTATCCTCCCAAATATTTAAATACTGACCAACAAAATATAATTTCCCAGAAACAGTCCCTTTCCACAATTTATTTTGCATAGAATCCATTGCCCTTCTATAATCTTTCTCTAACCAGTCAATTGTTTTCCCAGTTTGTAACCATTGTTTCAACAAATACTCATAATAAGAATCAGCTCTAGCACCAAAAGTTAAAGTGCCAGGTTCTCGAAAACGTCCATCAGTTGGGGAAATAAACATTGGACATAACCCAAATTGTTTATTACAAGGTTGGTCGTGAATATGTTCTGAGACACGAAAAGATAATGTCTAAATTATATTTATTTTGTTTTAAAAATTAATTTATAATTCCAAATAAAAAACACCTCGTAAGTATCATTCTCAACAAGTCTGGCTAAATCACGAAATTCTAATTGGAGAGAAGCAATTTCTGCAAGAGAAGAATCTACACTCCAACTAGGCTGTTGTCTAGATCCAGTACGAAGATTTACGTCGCTATAAAATTATTTTTTTTTAAATATATTTACAAAAGTTACTCTAATTAGAAAAAATTAAAAAATTAAATTTAGAAAACCAATGGTTTTCTGAACGAAAAGACCGAAGGGAGATTTTTGGAAGGAATGTCTTAGATTTACCATAATCTTTTTTTGGCAAAAGCAAAAAATAAAACAATATTTAGACAGAATTTACAGCTATAAAATATTCTAATACAGTAAAATTTATCTTAATATAAAAAATTGTTTCAACTCTTTGCGCGAAAAATTTAACAATAAATTCATTTACTTGCTAGTTTTTGTAAAAGAAAAATACCGACAGAGATTATAAGTAAAGATAAAGTTGCATTCTTATTTCAGTTATTTTTTGTTTAATTTTTCGCACAACAATGTTACGGGCAAACAAACACAAGAAAAAAATGCAAAAAATAAAATAAAATTAATAGTCACGTAAATAAAATTGTAAAAAATGTAACGCGCGTGAAAGGAAAAGAAAAAGATGTTTGTTTGGGTTTGTTCTTTAAACATAAAATTTATAAAAAAAAAGCTATTAAATGAAAAGATCAAACAATAATATTTTAAAAAGCAATAAGAAAAGCCGAAATAATTTTAAAATAGAAATAGTATGATTTACAAGATTAGAGACAGAAAAAATAAATAAAATAATTAAATCCGATAATAATAGATAGATAGAAAAGGAATAGTTTGTTTGCTTTTTTTGGAGCGAAAAGAATGAAACCGGGTCGGGAATTCCTAGTTTTATAGGGTTGGATCTTAGAATCAGCACACTGGAAGAGTAATTATCGGTCCTAGTCCCTCCCGGTTTCTCTTACTTTCCATTTTGTAATTTTTCGATTACAACTTTGAATTTCGAGAACATTTCTGTGATCATGAAATAATTCCAAAAAATCAAAAATTCCAGGAAATTCAAAGTAAAAATATTATAAAGGAAGATTTAAATTAAACGATTCCTCGGAAAAAATCTAATAAAATATTTAAAGCGATTTATATAAGTAAATAGCTTTAGCATTTCTAGTGCTCTAATTACCAATAAAAATATAGATACAATCTTGATTCTTTTTTTATTTTTTTGCCAAAAAACTCAAAGCATTTAAAACAAATAATTAATTAGTAGTTAGCTACTTGTTTATATGCACCGAACTAATGCAAATTAATTAATCAAACAGTGCTCAGTTTGTTTTAAAAAATTTTCGTGTTTAGATGTTTGTTATTTTTTGCTATTTTTTAATGGGCGTGTGCAAATATAATTAGTGTTTTAATACTTAATGCAAAGTACTACTTTATTTTAAAAGGTTTGTGCTTCATTTATGCTTTTGGGTGAAGCATGGGGAAATTTAAATAATTTTTGTTCAGAGGTTTTAAAAATATTTAAATTATTCAAAAATATTCCCATTATTTTTTAATTTAAATCCTTTCCCAATAATGTTGTTGGATCCGGATCCGAAAAAGATCGGATATCCGGAAATTTTCGGTTCGGATATTCGAAGACTTCCAACTATCCGACAAGCTTATTTCCCAAAAAGAATATATACCTATATCCTAAAAAGATTTTAGATATATTCTTTATTTGTCCATATAAAAAAATAGGAAATCCTGATATAGGTATTCTCTGAAATAATTTCTAACAATGAGGTCTATTAATGAAGAGTTTTATTTAAAAAATAATCAAATAAGTTCATTAAGAGAGGAATTTTGTGTTAGTTTTTTGATTTCCTTAATAATTATTATCTTAATTCGTATGTTTCTAACAAATAATTAAAATAATTAGAAAGAATTTAGAAAACAATTCATCATATTTTTCTGATTTCTGAACTCAAATAATTTTTACTGCGTGACATATTAATTAATCATTTTCTCTCATTTTAATAGAAAATTTGGCGTTTTAAAAAAGTTTTGCAAATATTTTTTAATTAAAAAATGAATATTTTAGAGTGAACATGATTTCTGAATAAAATGAAAAATTGCTTTCTAAAATATTTTTAAAATAAAAAAAAAGTAAAAATATGATAAGTCGCGCATGGAAAAACTTAATTAATTACTTAGACAAATAAAACAAAAATCTAAAAAGGCAAAAATGCGCCATTGACGCAGTAAAAATTAACGTGAAATTTACTAAAAAAATTATTTTATTGGAGAAAACTAAAAAAAGTTGTTATGCAGAAATGGAGAAAGTTGAGGAAAAAATTTTTTAAATTGATATGCTAACAAATTATTAAAATAATGTCAATCATATTGCGCATAGAACAGTGCGTCCGAGTTCTTTAATTTTTGATAAATTTAAATATATATAAATTATTAACAAACATAAAGTAATTAAAAAATCTAAAAATTAAAAACAGAAAAAGAAACAATCATACCTAATAATTATCATTAAAAATAATAAAAGAAAAATAAAACAAAATATAGATGAGTAAAGAATATTAAAAATATTTTTTTAGATTTCTAACGTTAAAAGAATGCTTATTACAAATAACTTTATTCAATATTTTCCTCAATTGAATAATGGAAACCTACCTAAAATTTTGCCATCAAGACATCAATTTGGAGAAACAACAAAGATGGAAATGTCAAGACTAAAAATGCAGACACGACAATGTTCAGAAGAAAATTATAATTTAGTCTACAGAAGTGAGGATAAAATAGGAAAATATTAATTTAAAAAAATTTTTATTTAAGTTGGTGAATCTGCACGTAACCGTTTTGGAAGGCCATATATATCCGGTAATTTAAATTAAAAAATTTCTTTTAAAAGCATTTCAAAAAGAGAAAAATAAAGAATAATTTTTACAGGCCGACCACTATTATTATGCGATCGAAAAAAGATAATAAGCCTTTACAAGGAAGGAAAGCGGAAAATTTCAATTGCTCGGGAAATTGGAATCACGCATTCATGTGTTTCTAAAGTGATAAGAAGGTAAAACAAATTTTAGAAAACAGGAAAATTAAAGAACGGGAAGAAGCAAGTCCCTCACTCCCCACATAAGAGATAAATACTAAATCTAAATTAAATAATACATATACTTTTTAGATTCGAAGAGACTGGTGATTTAGAAAATAAAAATTCGAGGACAGCATCTTGTGCATGCCCAGGAGAAGCTGAAACTCACGGTAACAAAATAAATATTTTTAAAAATAATTTAATAAAGATTTGCGTATATGCCGTCATGTACGTTTCCATCAAATGAGAAAAGAGCAAATGGAAGAAATGATAAATAACAAAAAAGAACAAAAAGAAAATCAACAAAAACAACAATATTATCAACAAATAGTTCATTTACAAAAACAATTCTTGCAACAACAACAACAGACAATTGGACAAACAAAAATAAAAGAAAATTGTGAAAAACAACAAAAAAGAAATGAATTGAAAAAATTTAGCATAGATTGGTAATTTTTTAAAGAAAAATTTTTAAAAAATTATTTTAATTAATTCTTGGAGTAAAAAGTTTTAAATTAAAATAATCAACTAAAATTAAGGATTTTAAATACAAACAGCAATTGTACTTCAAAAGAAATACTTGTGAGATGACTAGATTAAAGTTTCAGATTTTTACTATTTCTAATAAATTTTTAAAAGATTATTAACAATAAATACATAAATTTTCCTTATGTTTAATTACTTATTAATTTAAAAAAAATAAAAATTATTCATAAAGGGAAGCTATAAACTTGTCTTTGAACTAAACCAAAAAACATTTTTAAAATTATTAAAGTTACCTATTTAATTGTTACATACTTGCCCGAATACTTTATTTATAAAAACACCCACCTGTAAGGAACAGCTGTAGGTGAATCACTAATACCAGGTAATAATCGACGACCAATATCCTCTGCTTTTGTAAGAAAAATTTGATCTCCTGAAAGATGATAAGCGCTCAACAGACCTCCAAGTATCTAAAAAATTTTTTTATAAAAATATTAAAAGCTTATTTTATTACCCGAATAGTTGTTTCAAATAGACTAACAAATCTATTTTTATCAAAATCCAGCTCTTTAGCTACCCATTCCTTTGCTTCATTGAATTCATCATTTAGACCCATAATTAAAAGAGCATCCAATGAATCAACAATGGTTAAACCTTCAAAAAGTTAAATTAAAGAGAAAAAAATAGATATTAGAATTTAGTTAGGTAAAACAAAATCAAAAAATAAACGATTAAATTAAATGGTCAGAAAGTTTTTTTCGATTTCGGGCTTTAAAAAAGGTATTTCTCGGAAAGCTTATTTCAGAATATCTAACAAAAAATTTTTTTGTTAACACTTTTAAATTAAAACCATTTCATTATTTCTATTAAAAAATTCAAACCGCATTCAATCCATTCTTGGTATGTACGCGTTACAGGCTTTAAAAGATCATGTCCCCAAGCATATTGTTTGTAACCTCGCCAAGCATGTAAAAAGGCATCTCTTACAGCTTTCTGTTTATCATTTTTAGGACCTTAAAATATATTTTTTGGAAATAATTTTAAAAAATAAAATTTAAATCTTTTTTTTTAATTTAAACCTTCAAATTTTGGAATATTCATTGGCACAATTTTCTTTTTTATTTTTTCAGCGTCTTTTCTTCTCTCAGAATTAGCTATCCGATTTTTATATGACTAAAATTTATTTTCAATTTAAAATAAAATTATTTAAAAAGAACCTCTCTATTTTGTAGAACATCCATTGTTTTATCAACTAATTGTAACTGATTAGGAAATTTGTATAATTGTACATAAAGTAAAGCAGTGACAAGAAAACAAAATAAAAGACCACACAAATTATTACGTCGAATTAAAAGCTAAAGACAAAGAGAAATAAAATAAAAATTATTTTAATTAAAAAACCAATTTAAGTAAAGCAGCAGATGAGGATTGATCAACAACACCTCCATTTTGACGTACAACAAAAGGAAGTGTATCACCACTATCTCTAAAATGCATAAATTGGGGCATTTATCTTTTAGATCTGTTTAAAAAAATTTTTTAAATTAAGATTAAAATTTTTAGAAATTAAAAAAAATTAATTTCTGTTTGGATATTAGAGCTTATTAACTTTTCTTACATTCAAATAAAAAATTAAATATTTTAAAAAGCTAATTGATTATAAAAACAAATCGCAATTTAAATTTTAAAAAATACAAAATAATTCATTTATCAGTTAAAACAATTTAACGATATGTGCGTGTATTTTGATTTTATTTCTATGGCAGTAAGTGAAATTGGTAGTAATTTTTGAAAAAAAATAAACGGTAAAACTCTTTAATCTCAATAAAGATTACTACTCAATTCCACTATCATAAAGAAGTTCAATAAAGATGTGTTTTAAAATAGATACAAAAATTTTGGTTATCTTTAATAACATTAGAATATCGAAAAATTAAAAAAAACACATCCATTTTTGCAAAAATACCTGACAAATTGGAATGAAATTTAACAAAAATTTTGTCAAAAATAATTGGGATTTAAATAAAAGCTAAAAGTAAAGAGATAATTTAAAAGCTTTTCATATATTTTTAAAACTCGTTGTCATTTTAATAAAAGGCCTCAATTCAATTTCATCTTTTGACTCTCTTTAATTTGCACCATAATGCACAGTCGTCACGGTCTGCTGCGGCACTGCCACTACAGCCACATTAGTAGGATACATATAATAGCAAACACTAAATATTTAAATTATTTTAGAGGAAAATAACCAAAAAATTTTAAAAATTTAGGTTAAAGTAGAAACAAAAAAATTAAAGATATTCCAAACAAACATCCCTTGAGAGAAATCGTTTTCCTATGATCTTAAAATAAACATACTAAATAGCATGTATCAGTCCTGGCAGCCATAAAGCACAAGTCAGAAGAAAATTCAACAAAAGATGAATAGTGCATCCTTCACGAATCAGAACTGCCAACGGCTAAAAAGATTAAAATTATTATTCTAAATTTAATTTTTAATTCAAAATATTTTGAAAAGAATTACCGGAAAAATAAGCATAACCAAAAACAGACAACAATCAGCACAACAATTGCCCATTTTAATAAGATCAGTTGATAATAAAATTCAAATTAACTGAAATGTTTAGAAAAAAGAAAATATAACCAAAAAATAACAATGTTAAATAAACATTATTTAAAAATAATAAAGTAAAATGTATTCTATTTAATACAAAAAATGAAAAAAAAAATAAATTTATAAAATTAAACTCCAAGAAATTTCCTTCCATAAATGCCAGCCTTTTGTTCAAAATTTACAGAACGAATAGGAGAATCATGCTGGTAGAAGGGATTCATAGAATATTTTATATACATTTCATAACTACAAAAATAAAATTTTTAAAAATTTGGTTCAAAACAAACATTTCTTGAAAGAATTGTTTAATCCCATCTTCATTCTTTTGTGTATGTAACATTAAAAAGCGAATACGGCTAGAAGTAACAAATGCAGAAACAAACCATTCATTAAATTTGTCAACAATCTATAAATTTTAAAATGAATCACCAGGCAAGTCAAACCTTTGAGATTATTTTTACAAAATTAAAGAACCTTCAAGTACATTTGTGGCTCCCTAAGTGTCATTTCATCCACAATATCCAAAGCTGCGTGTGCAATAAATTGAAGTAAATGATGGGTCTCCGCTTGAGTTTCTCGCTTCTTTGGAGGAAAATCCATTTCCAAAAGTGGTTGATCCTGACGCCCAACAATTACAAAATAATAATCCTTAGCAATTGCTGTTGCCATTTTTTAAATAAAATCTATAAAAATTGATTTAATATTACAGAAAAGTTTATTAAACTTTCTTTTTTTAATATTTAGAAATGTGTTAATTCAACAAAAAATAAGAGAAATAAACATTTAACATAAGCGGAAAAGGCTTCCTCTTACACAATTCATCATCAGATAAAATGTCAGGGCCGCGATGAAACATTGTCCCATATTTCACCATAGGAATTCTTAGAGAACTTTAACATTTATATATTGATTTAATGAATTACACAAAAATTGTTGGATTTTACTTTATTTCTAAATGGACTATATTTAAGAACCCCAGTATTTCCTTATTGTAGAAAAAAAATGGGAATTAAGTTCATTTTACAATGAAATAAAAGTATTGAAATTTAATTTAAAAAAATTCGATTAATTATTGAGTAGTTAATATAACATTTAATGATATCTAAATGAAAGTAAATAAAGCATAATTACGAATATAAAGGCAAGTTAATATAAGTCATATAAAAATACAGTCGTGGAAAAAAGTATGGAAGCGCTAGAAAATTTTTTCTTAATTCTTGATTTTTCATTCAAAAAATACGTTCTATATACCAATCGAAAGCTCTATTCGTATCTCAGTTGACATGTTTCTGCATCTTTCATGAAAATGAAAATTGGCCGAGATAATCCGGATCTACCGGATATACCAAATCCCACTTTTTCGGAAAAATTTTTCGGAACAAATTTAACAAACCCAAATGATAAAGCATATTTTTGTGAGCAGTTACCACAAAACCGCTTAGAAATATCTTTTTCCGGAGCAGAGATATGATTTTTTGAAAATCGCATTTTTCGTCTATTTTTGCAAAAAATTCAATTTTTAAGCGAAAAATGCCATTTTCAAAAAATCATATCTCTGCTCCGGAAAAAGATATTTCTTAGCGGTTTTGTGGAAAATACTCAGAAAAATATGCTTTATCATTTGGGTTTGTTAAATTTGTTCCGAAAAATTTTTCCGAAAAAATGGGATTTGGTATATCCGATAGATCCGGATTATCTCGGCCAATTTTCATTTTCATGAAAAATGCAGAAACATGTCAACTGAGATACGAATAGAGCTTTCGATTGGTATATAGAACGTATTTTTTGAATGAAAAATCAAGAATTAAGAAAAAATTTTCTAGCGCTTCCATACTTTTTTCCACGACTGTAAATGCAGAAATTAAATAATCTTTTATAATAATGCCTAAATTTGTCGGTATATTTAAGTAAGAAAGATTTAAATAAAAACGTAATTTTTTAAAAAATAAAAAATATATTTAATATAAAGAAATTAATACGAAACAATTCATTTTCTTCAAATTTCTTCCAAAACAAACGAGCGTATCAAATCTGGCACAGCTGCGTCCAAACCAACAATATCAAGCATACCAGGATCATTTGGATCAGCAATTGTGAATTCATTTGCAGCCATACCCATTACAATAAGTTTTGCATTTGGAATGTTCATTTGTTGTCTATAATCTTTAAGTGCTTCAAATGGATGTATATCCTTAAATTAAAACAATTTACTGTTATTATTTTGTATAATTTATAATTGAAATTAAAGCATTATCGAATTATCTCCACGGATTACGTTAACATTTTGTAATTTTTAAGAGAAAAGGAAATGAAAGAAGATATGCGAAAGGATAATGCGATATTACCGAAATTCATTTGAAAAATATTAGAAAAATACGTACTCCTGCCCATGTTTCTGGAAAAATAATAACGAAATTAAAGATTCACAGATATTATAAGATTACCTGAATCGGTATAAACAATGAAAACATCAAATGAAAGATGTTCTTCTTTTGCCCAAAGCATAGGAAGAGCACAATTAGTACCACCAAAATCTATTTTCTCATTATAATCCATCATTTCGGTCATCGTGCTCTCGCGAGTAAATGGAAGCGTGACAAGTTCATCACAGAAAGCAATACATTTAACCTATTATAAAAATTAAAATGTGTTTGAAATCTTTTCCTACATTTTCCTCAGTCCGTAATGTAACATTTGCCATTGCAGTGGATGCTTCACAACAAGAGAGTATTCCACCAGTAATCTTGGTCCAACGCATACTTGCTATAAATTAAAGGAAAAGGTTTTAATCCAAAATTTTAATTTACAAGAAACATCCATAGCCAAACAAAAACGCTGTCCAGTTGGCTGAACATTTTTGAAAGCAAGAATAAAACATTGCTCTAAGGCTTCATTAATTCGATCATTTACTTCCCATTTTAGTTTGCCTTTAATTCCATGTCCTGACTTGTAAACTGAGGATGCTAGAAGAACAGCAATTGGGTGAATTCTTGCTTTCTGAAGGGCTTCTTGATTAAGAATTTTTGAGATAACTAGATCAACACATTCTCTAAAATTTAAAAATAAATTAAGAAAAGGGAAGGTCTAATATACTTGTTTAATTCGTCATCCAATAATCCTAAAGTAGCCAATTTTGACAGATTACGTAAAAGAGCAGTCATAGGCATATGTTGTAGTAATGCAGTCCAAACTTTAGGAGAATTGAGCAAAGCGGTTGGAACATGTTCACGTACAAAATCTTTACAAAAAAATTTTGAAATGAAGTCATTGTGAAATAAAAAATCCGTTCAAAAAATTTAAAAAAAACTTAAAACTCACTATATTTTTTGATTAATTCAACACAACGTTTCTCATCATCTTCATTATCAGATTTTAGTTTTGACATTTCCATTACTTTTCGAATAAATTCTAAAGCAACAGAATCATTTGCATATTTAATCATTTGTTCGGTAAGTCCATAATCACATCTTGATTTTTTTAACAAAGGCGTTTCATTTGCTCCCTCTGATTCGACAATTATAGACTTTTGTGGGTTAAAATCACCTAATTTTGGAAATATTAAACAAAAATAAAAAAGTGAACCTTTGCATGCATAATGGAATATTTGATCATAAACAAGAGTTTGAGAATTTGCCAATTCTTTGTTGTTCGAACTCGCCATTGGATGGGACAAACGAAGAAGATCGCGATGAGACCAAGACTCACGACTTGGATATTTTGTAATATGCAAAGCAAGCTCCATAGGAGATTTTTGTAAATACCTAAAGATACAGAAAAGGATGAGAAGCAAAATCTAAAAAATTAAATTTACCATTCAGCAATACATTTCCGCATTGCTCGTCCCCATCCAGTGTGCTCTTCACCTGTTGCTTTTGCTATAAGTTCGCAATATTTGACAAACATGAATAAGTGTGTTGGTATACGGCAAACCTAACGGATCAAAATAGGAATTAATAAAAATATAAAAAAATTAAAACAAACTTTAGTAACCATCCTAAAAGCAGTCTGTTGCAGTTTATACAAATAAAGATCAAATTTTTTCATTTCATCTGAAGTAAAATCCTCTGTATTCGAAAGGAGAGCCTTTTCAAGATCATATTCTCCTGACTTTTGTAATAAACTTTTTCTATCACGAACGTTATAACGCGCACAGAGAGCCAATGCAAAAAGTAATGGATCCTACAATTAATTTTTTAGAACAACCATTAAGGTCAAAAAAATAAACACACCTGTTTTGGTGAACGACCTGCTAATGAAATGCTAACAATCTCTCTTAAAATCATTCCGCCCTTTCCACGTTTAATTATATCAATCAGAGCCTCCATATTGTCCATGGTAAGCTTTTGTTCAGTCACATAATAAGTCCCACCTTCCGTCCCCAAAATGAGAAACCGCCGAACTCTAGTAAGATCACTGACTTTAAAAACATATCCACCAGCATTATTTCGAACCTTAAAAATATTAACTTTAAGCAAACTTTTTAAGGAACCTGATCATCACGAATCTTGACTTGCTGTCCAGGAATTTCAATATCAGCTATGGACATCTGAACCATTAACTCTAGTAATCTAAGAGATTCTTCAGAAGATTCAATTATATCATCTTTTTCTGAATCACTTTTGTCTGAATGAACACGAACCATTGTCTGTGATATTGTAAATAGGTATATAAAAACTGAAATTTAAGTAATGTTAATTTTAAAATTAATGGACTTTATATTTTGATTCAAGTTAGTTAAATGTGAAAAATATTTAAAAAAAAAGGAGCGAGAATAATAAAAATGATTCATAGCAATTTAAACGACGACTCTCTTATGAATTTTACAACAAAAATTGATAATGAAATAGTTATTGAAACACTTTAATGAGTTACGGAACCAAATTTAAAATATTAAACATTCTAATAAATTAAGAAATCAAATTCAAAAGATATCTATGCGCGCACACTTAGGCCTAAGTTATCTTTCAAATTTGATTTCGTAATTATTAAAATGTTTCAATAACTATTTCATTATCAATTTTTGTTTAAATTTCGTAAGAGAGTTGCCGAACCTGCGCCCGCCTCGAATCGCGGCCTAATTGTAAGGAGTTTTTAGGTGGCGCGCAGGCCGATTGGAGGCGGGCGCAAGAGCCATTTTCAAAAAAACGCAAATGCAACACAGCAGGGTACAGCCCGAAATGTCGCGGGCCAAAATGTCGCGGCCGAAATGTCGCGACCGAAATGTCGCGGGCCAAAATGTCGCGAGGCCGAAATGTCGCCGGCCGAATTGTCGCCAAGCTTTTTAATTAAATATTCTGTAAAATAATTACAAAACAAGGATATAGTTTTCAACTTAAACCTATGGAGCGTCGGCGAGGCGCTTGTGCAAAACTCCGCGCTTCGCGCGGAGTTTTGCGGCACGCGCCTCGCGGGGAGTCTACGGTCGCTGGGTTCTGGGCTCGTAACTTAATCCTATTCCTTTTTACAGATTCTCAGCCTTGAATGCCGACCTACCCTCCGTAGCAACACCAAAACAGGTATTGAAGCGAAAAGGCGAACAAGGAAAAGGCGAAAATATGAAGAAAAGCTTGGCGACAATTCGGCCGGCGACATTTCGGCCTCGCGACATTTTGGCCCGCGACATTTCGGTCGCGACATTTCGGCCGCGACATTTTGGCCCGCGACATTTCGGGCGTGTCCCAACACAGCAGTATCAGCCCGTTGACGCACGCGCGAAAACTACTTAGTTCTCTATTTCTCCTTTCTTTCGTTCTCTAACTGTCTCTCTTTCTTTTATGCACTCTTTTTTTGCGACTGCGAGGACAAATTTTATTAAAACTTTAAAATCCCATATCTCGAAAACTATCCCAAATTTTTGAAATTCTGTTCCAACCATTTCAAAAATAATTGTTTTAAAATTTTATAAAAAAAATTTCAGAAATTTTTATGCAAAATTCACAGAGTTAATGCAGAAATAATTTTATCTAAATTTTAGTTAAAAACTAATAGTAAAAAAGTCTTGGGAAGACGATTTTGGTATCAACCGATACAGCTCGACGAGTTACGTCGATTTATGCCAAATCTGTATTTAGTGGGCCACTTTTTGCTGAGTTATGGCCAAAAATGTATAAATTTTTAGCGCTTTTTAAAAATGCATAACTTAGCCCAAAATGCATATTTTCCGCTTAAATTTTGTTAAGTCGTATAGCAATACTGCAATTTGGGAAATTTTACTACAGTTTGGGAAATTTTGAAGAAAGCTTGTCACTTAGGTTCATTAGTAATAGACTCCCGAATGTCGACATAGTATACTTCCGAATATGGACAATTCCCGAGTTCATGTGTTATATGTCATTCGAAAGAGCTCATCGAGATGAGTCGAATGACACCAAAATCAAAGACCGATCTTAATTATGAACTGAAATACAGACTCCTAAAAATCGTAGAAATTGTGTTTTAAAAAATTCATAACTTCATCCAAAATGAAAATTTTCTAAAAAATTTTTCAAGATTGTATATCAATTGTAGTACTACAATTTAGCAAATTTTGAAAAAATTCTGTTCACTGGGTTCATTAGTTATAGGTAGTAGGTGAGCGGTATGTCAACTTAAGGAGTATGCCAATATAACTTGTGAAAAATCTATATAGATTTTGTTCGTTTTTCATCGCTGAATCAAACAAAACAAAAATTAGCGAAAAAGGACAACTTTGGAGAAAGTTATGGCCCATGATAGGACGATTTTCACCAATTTTCAAAAATTCATAACTTCGTTAAAATTGTATATTGGCTTCTCAAACTTTGTAGGATTGTTTAACTCATTTAGGACCACAGAAATACAAAATTTGAAAAAAATCGGATGGGAGGATAAAAAGTTATAAAATTTAACTAATTCCCCTCACAAATGAGAGAATTGACCATTTTCCTTCATTCTGACCATTTTATAACTTGTCTCCTTCTGACCCTTTCTCTTGTTTACAAAAAAGTCAGACGCACGAGAGATGCAATAGAATGTGGAGAGTACATAGATATTTAATTTAAATTTTGGCGTTATGTTTAGGGAAAAGAGTTAGCTAGTTTTCGCGCGCACAGTGCTTCAAACCCGTTGACAGACAGCGCATAGCAAACAGAGAAAAAGACAAAATGGCCATTAACGGGGAAAATTACAAAATGGTCAGTAGCTGCAAAAGAAAAGAGGAAAGTCAAAATGGTCAAAGAGAGAAATTCTCTCATTTATGAGGGGAATTAGTTAAATTTTATATCTTTTGGCCCTCCGGTCCGAATTTTTTCAAATTTTGTAATTTCATAGGACTAAGGTGGATAAACGATCATGTAAATTTTGAGAAGCCAATATATATTTTTAACGAAGTTATGAAGTTTTAAAGATCGCTAAAATTCGTCCTATTTTTGGCCATAACTCACTCCAAAGTTGTCCTTTTTTCCTAATTTTTGTTTTATACTACTCAGTGATGAAAAATGAACAAAAACAATGTAGATCATGCACAAGTTATCTTGACTTACTATTTAGGTTGACATACCGGTTAACCTACTACCTATAACTAATGAACCCCTGGCCAAAATTTCTTCAAAATTTTCTGAATTGTAGTCCTACAATTAATATACAATCTTGCAAAATTTGAGCGGAAAATACCCATTTTTGGAAGAGTTATGAATTTTCGAAAATCGGTAAAAATCATAAACTTTTGGCCTTATCTCGGCCTAAATTGGTTTTATAAACTCAAATTTGGCATGAATCGACGTATCTCGTCGAGCTCCATCGGATGGTACTAAAAGATTTACTTTTTTCTTAGATAATACCCGGGTTTTCATCCTTATTTTTATTGAATTTAGATGTGCATTAACTCTGCGAATTGTGCATTAAAATTTCTGAAATTTTTTCGACATAATCTTAAAACAAGTATCTATGAAATGTATTGACAGATTTTAAAACGTATTGATAGTTTTCGAGATATTGGATCTCGAAATCGGTAGGGAACGACATATCAACGTTTTCTTAAGAAAAAAAAGTTGATTTAATAATATCAACAATTATTCGCGAACAACTTTTTTTTAAATACATAACGCCAGAACAACGTTAATATCAACGTTTTGCGCCAAACAACTGCGAATCAACGTTTTTGTATCTTTTTTCTCTGCTCTGCCATTATATTTCTCTTCTTTTTTTCTGTTAATTTTCGTTCGTGTAGTCTCTCCTTTGGAATTTAAAAGAATTTTACGAGTAGGAATTTTTTTATTAAAATTGAAAAAATATATAAAACAACAAAATTTTATCCATCTTTAAATAATGATTGTAATGAAGTGGAATTTTGTTTGAAGTTTCTTTCCAAAATTTTAGCAAATCTAGCTTATGTCCTCCCAAATTCTTACATCCAGTTTCATACTGTTCCATCTCAAAATCTAGTCCTTTCTCGGCCAAATCATCGTTTTTAATTTCTGTTTGTAACTTTTTGAATAATCACGACGAAGTTTTGGTTTACAAATAATTTGTACATCCCATGCAGCCTTGAAAAAAATATTACTTATACTTTTTAATTTAAATACTAGGGTTGTTGGCAACCGATTATCAACCGGTATCCCCGGTTTTCGGTTTTTAAAATTTTCTAAAAACGGTTAATTTTTGGCAAAAAATTTAAAAAATTCCGGTTTTAAAACCGGTCGCCAACGACCCAATTAAATACCTTAAAAAATTCTTCATGAAATACAGACCTGAGTAATTTAGTACTTCGACATTCTCTTGTTCTCTCAAGAATCCAATCAAACCATACTTGTAAATCATATTCAGAATCCACTTTTGGCTAAAGCTGCTCTGACTAAATCATCTCCTCTTACTTCTCCTCTCCAAGCATTTTCCAATTTGATCATTTCTATCATTAATCTGTTCATTGTACATTTATTTTCGGCCTAAAATTTAAATTTTCTAAATTTCAATATTATTTTTTACCTCAAGTATTTTCAAAGGTGCTTCCAACATTGAAACAGTTTGAATATAAGCTTCAAAAAGATTTTGCTTGGAAAAAATTCGTTCCATTCTCTCTGTGTGATTTCCAGAATATTTGTTAACAATTTCTTTAAACGATTCTTTATCTTACATTAGATCCCTCATCAGTAATAAAAACGATTTTTGACATGTCAAGCCCAAGATAGGTAAGATTTTTGTTGACTAAATCATATATATTTTTTCTGATTTTGGAAATGTCTCCAGGAATTGGAAGACACGAAAGTACAAACATTCATTCCATGATCGCCTACTCTTCGGACTTCCTAGATTAATCCCTTAAGGAAATCGGATTTTCGACGTTTCGATGACGGTGTCACAGGTTCTTCGAGATCGCCGCTTTCGAATGCGACTCTTAATTCATTTTCAAATTCATCCATCTAGTAAGAATATATGTGGAAAAATCCCTAAAAATTACAGAAAAAAGACTGAACATTTATAAAAATGGAAAATTGCAAATTCCAAAGGAGAGACTACACGAACGAAAATTAACAGAAAAAAAGAAGAGAAATATAATGGCAGAGCAGAGAAAAAAAGATACAAAAACGTTCGTGCCCGCTCAAAACATCAAACGCTTAAAATATCTAGACGACTAAAAACGCTAAAAATATCTAGACGGGTAAAAACGCTCAAAACATCTAGACGACTAAAAAGGCTCAAAATATATTCGCTCAAAACATCAAACGCTCAAAATATCAAAATATATTTTTCATTTAAAGGGGACAGTTGAGTCCGCGGAAAAAAATTTTGCCGCTGCGGAGGAAGCCGGGCATGTCGAGCGGAACGACGGCCGCCGCTTCGCTACGGTCGCCGCGAGCGAAGCGAGCACGACCGCAGCGAAGCACGGCCATCGTGTAGCGAAGACCATGCCCGGCCTACCCTCCGTAGCAGCACAAAAACAGTTTTTCCAGCGAAGATTCAGTTGGTCATAACTTTGTTCACAATCATCCAATCGAGCTGATTTTGGTGTCATTCAACTCAGCTCGTCGAGCCCTTTCTCAACACGTCGAGTTCATGCAAAATTGGTCCTGAGATACTACATTATTCACCCCTGATACAAGGAAGAAATATTGGACTCAACTGTCCCTTTTAATCAAAAAATATTTTGATATTTTGAGCCTTTTTAGCCGTCTAGATATTTTGAGCGTTTGATGTTTTGAGCGAATATATTTTGAGCCTTTTTAGTCGTCTAGATGTTTTGAGCGTTTGCTGTTTTAAAAAAATATGTTTTGTAGGGTAGCCAAAACGTTGATTCGCAGTTGTTTGGCGCAAAACGTTGATATTAACGTTGTTCTGGCGTTATGTATTTAAAAAAAAGTTGTTCGCGAATAATTGTTGATATTCGCCGCGAATCAACGAAAACGTTGATTTGTCGTTCACTAGAAATCGGTAACCTAAAATGGTAACGAGAGTAATGATAAAAATGAGAGAGTAAGAAAATGAAAGAGAGGAAAAACGAGAGACTACACAAATTTTGCTATGCGCGCTTTTGAAGCACTGTGCGCGCGTGCGTCAACGGGCTGATACTGCTGTGATGCAACGCTAGGTCAAAATTTCGGGACATGGACATTTTGTCGCGACCACTTTGTCGCAAGCCCACTTTGACGCAGGCCACCTTGTCGCAAAGCAGCCAAAAATTTGAATCGGTCGGAAACCAAGAAACTCTAAATCGGCCGATTCTAAATTGAGCTTTACCTTAATAATTCATTTATTTTTTAATTAAGTTTTAAAGTTCGAAAATTATTTTTCTAAACAAGAATGGCTTTTACATTTGCTGCTTTCTGTTATCTGTTTGGATTAATTGCAATTGCTTTCTGCATTTTCTTTGCAATCTATACGGTTTTTAATTTAATAAATTTTGATTTTATATATATTTTTAGGTTATTTGTATTGATGAATTAAGAACTGATTACAAAAATCCGATAGATCAATGTCGTAGTATGAACCAGGTTTTTTCTAAATATTTAAACAAATTTTTAAAATATTTTTCTCTTAAAGCTTGTCTTGCCAGAATATGGCATTCACTCCTTTGTATTTTTCTTTTTCGTTCTTTCAATGCAACTTTTTGCTATTGTTTGGAATCTTCCTTTGTTTGCCTACCACATCCACCGGTATTCTAAGTTAACTTCTAAACAAGCATTTTAATAATTTTTAGTTATATTAAGCGACCAATAATGCGTGGACCTGGAATTTATGACCCGACAACAATCATGTTTTTTTGGATTTTTTAGATTTTATTTTTTTATTTTATAGGAATCACGATCAATTATCAAAAATAAATAGAGAAGGATGGGTTAAAATGGGCTTTTATTTGCTTTCGTTTTTCTATTATCTCTATGCGTATGTTTTTAATTTTTTACAAAATTATTATTTGTTAACTTAACAAAATAACTTTCCTTTGCCAACCAAAAAATTTTTTTTGAGTATTTTTATCAAAAATAAACAACTTTTATTTTTTCCATAAATTTTGTCCAAAATTATTTTTAATAAAATTTTACTTTAAACTTATTTTTTAATATTAAAATTTTTTTAGAATGATCTATACAATGGTTACAACTGGTTGACAAGCAAACAATTTTTGAAATATATATCAGGATATTAAAACATTTTATTTCTGTTTTTCGCCCAATTTGACTTTTTTCTTCAATTGTATAAGCAATTTCTGCCATTATTTTAATTTAATTGTGGCATCTAAAAAATATTTTAGAATTTTGTCTGGTACTATTTTGGAGTTTTTAAAAATAATTTTGTAGTGTAAATTTTGTAGATTTTTAAAAATATTCTAATTAAATTTATCTAAACTGTCCGAAAAAATAAATATTTTTTAGAACTGCTATAATTAAATTAAATTTTTTGACCATTTAAAAACTCAATAAATATTTAATATATATTTATTTTTAATTGTTTATAAATATTAAAATAATATTTAAATTAATTAAAAATTTTTGATATTTAAATTTAATTTTTATTCATTTTTTCGTTAAAATAATGAATGGTACTTCTCATATTTCCTCAGATTTCAACAATTTATTTACTCCATCTTTAATTGATCAAATTAAATTTTTAACACAAATTTATTCAAAATTGGCCAACAATTTTTTTAAATTGCGAGAATTATTAAAACAATTTAATTCTGTTGAAAAGGCTAAAAAAGTTTTATTAAATGATTCAATTACTTTTAGAGAACATCCAGATATATTAAATATAGTTAAGGTTTAATAATTTTAAAATTTTTGACTTCAAATTAAAAATTAATTTTAGGCAAAACTTCATCAAAAAGCAAACAATATTTTAGACCAATTAAATATTTATTCCTCTCATTTATTATTTATTTATTCAAAATTGGACAATTTTCCACCAAATACATTTAATTATTACCAATTTATCGAAGATGATATTTTTATAATTAAAAAGCATACAAATCGTCTCAAAAATCTCTTGGACTCATTCATTTTGCAATTTAATGAAGGTAGGGGTTTTCGAATTTTAATTTTCAAAGCAATATTCGGTTTAGGATTGGGGTTTTCGAGTCGGGCCACATTTTTTCGAGTCATCTTTTTTGGGCCTCATTTTTTTCGGGCTGGCCCGGCCGAGTCATTTTCGGGCCAAAATTTGATGCCCGACTCGATCTTTCGGACCGGGCCGGTCCCCCAATCCTAATTCGGTTATTTACTCGAATCATTTAAAATTAAATTTTTTAAAAATCCAACAAATTTTTTTAATTTCCAGTGCTTCCTTTCCTCAACCAAACAATAGATCCACCATTATTTTGCAATTTTTCAAAACAATTAGAGCCTGAAATGAGTTTTTCTTTTGAAATTTCTGATACAAAAGCTTATCCAAATTGGGTAGTTCAAAAGGCAATTGAACGAATGAAATCGTTTTTTAATTAAAATAATTTATTTTTTATATATTTTTTCTTTTGTTATTTAATTAAAATTTTTAATAAAAATTTTTTAATATAAAGCTTATTCTGTTAAAAACAAAAATATTTTAAAAATATTCGAAAAATGTTTTTAATAAATCTAGATTTTATTAATGTTTCCCACAAAAATTTTATTTCTGAAAGGGGTTATGCCCTCGTCTTTGTTTAAATGTTATTTAGGAACAGGCAATAAATTTACTTTTCTTCAGCAAATTAAGGTAAATATTTTTTAATTTAATTTTAAATTTTATTTTTAAAGTTTATTTCAACATCTCCATTTAAACCAAATTTATTTATTTTGCGGAGGCCAAACAATACTTTTTTCAAAATAAATTTTAAACAAAATAATGCTTATTTTTCTTCGTCTCCAAAACAATCTAGTTGGTTTCAACGATTTTTATCAAAATTTGAATCTGACTCAACAGCTGTTTATTATATTTCAGGGTTTGTTATTTAAACATTTTTAGGTATTTTAATTTAAAGAATTGCTGTAATAATGCTTGGATTGTCTTTTGCATTTATTCCATTTTTTCGTATTCTTTGCGAAACGACTTCTTTTAATGGAGTTGCACAAGTAAATAAATTTTATTTTAAAATATTTTCTTTAAATTTATTTTTAATTTATAGATAGCTAGAAATCTTAATAAAATTGCTACTATGGAAAAAGTGGATGATTGTCTAATTCGTGTCCAATTTAATGCTGTATTATTTTTTATAAACAAAAACAAACTAAAAATTAAATTTCATAGGATGTCCCCTCTTCAATGCAATGGAAATTTAAACCACTTCAGGACGAAATTTATGTTAGTCCGGGAGAGACGGCACTTGCATTCTTTACTGGTAAATAAAAAAATTTTTTTGTATTTTAATTTTTTAAAGCTTATAATCCAACAAATAAGCCAATTGTTGGCATTAGTACATACAATTTATCACCGTTCCAGGCTGCATATTATTTTAATAAGGTTTTTGATTTTAATATTTTATTTGTTAAAAATATTAAAGATTCAATGTTTTTGTTTCGACGAACAAATCCTCAATCCCGGAGAAGAAGTTGATTTGCCAGTGTTTTTCTACATTGATCCAGATTTTGTCAACGATCCCTTGTTGGAGGATGTTACCAATTTATTGGTTTTTTATTTAATAATTCTATATCTATTTTCAAATAATTTTATAGTTGTCATATACATTCTTTGAATCCGGATCCGATCTAAAACTTCCTTCGCCGTTTGATCCGAATAATCGACCTTTAAATAAATCTCTTCAAAAGTTTGAGGAAAAAGAAAAGAAGACAGGATCTTTATTGGAATCAGTTAATGCTATTGCCTAGTTTGTTTATAGTATAGAGTTTTGATTAGATGATTTTGTTATAAATATAAAAATCGAATTCATTATACTTAATGTGGAATTAATGTTGCTTACTTAATGTGGTTCAAATTCTTAGATTATACGTGCAAGTAAAATAGGTATTGTCATAGTTAAGATTATAAAACGCCCATTTTTAGCGCCTCATAAAAGGCGAGAGAGAATAGGCCAAATCAACTTACTTTCTCATTAATTAGTTCTGGGCCCGATCAAAAGTTGGCCTGTCCTCTCGCCTTTTATTTATTAATTATATTTGTTGAATAAAAAGGTTAAAAAGAAGGCCTTCGTTTTTAATAGGTGGATCGGCGCGCCCCAAGGGTGGGTTACCACTCTTGGGGCCCAACGCCGACTAACCCCCTGAAGAAAGGGGTTAGGGATATATAAGAGGTATACTACTTGTAAATTATGTCAGAAATTATCAACAAAACAAGAAAATACAAATACACACAAAAATGGGTAAAAACGAATGAAACAACAGTGTGTGATTTGCACAAAATTCGTACTTTTAAAAGCAGTAAATCATTCCCCCAAAATATTATCGCTTCTCAAAACCTCTTTATAGTAAAAATTGTCAATTAATTTCTTCTGCTTTGCTTCCATTTTCGGCGGTAGTGGCTTTCGCAGCTTTATTTCCTCCTTTTTTAACTTTTTTAACAACTTTCTCTTGTTCTTTTTCATTCTTCTGCTCTTCTTCACCTTCTTCGTCATCATGAATCAAACCACGAGGATCTGGACGCATTGCAGGGAAGAAAAGAACCTTTAAAATTGGGTTGAATCTTTTCAGAAGTATAAATTAGAAAAATATTGGACGGTTATTTTTTAGTTGTGATTCTTTAAATGAACTTGAAACCAATAAAAATCCCTAGGATTTAATTAAAGTCATGGTGAAATCCTATGACATATTTAAAGTAAAAAAAAAGAAAAATTTCCTTACCTCTTTAATATTGTGACTATCAGTTAAAAGCATCGCTAATCGATCAAGGCCAAGTCCCCAACCAGCGGTTGGTGGTAATCCATATTCCAATGCTGTACAGAAATTTTCATCAACTAATTGAGCTTCTTCATCTCCATCAGCTTTAAATTTTGCTTGTTGTTCAAAAAGTTCTCGTTGAGTAATTGGGTCATTCAATTCAGTATAGGAATTGCACAATTCTTTGGTAACAGCAAAAAGCTCTAAAAAGATCTAATTATATAAACTATTAAAAATTTAAGAGAATAAAATTTATATGTGACTTTAACCAAAGCGATAAATCATGTTTAAAATAAGAAGTCCGTAAGGAACTCTCAAAATGTAGGAATATTTAAAAAATAATTTTTTAATTTACCAAAACGTTCTGTAAGCCCAGGAATTGAACGGTGCCATTTTGCGAGAGGACACATAATTTGTGGATGCCCAACAAGAAATGTAGGATTAATACACTGCGACTCAATAAATTCTCCAATAAGTTTGTCTAATAAACGTCCAGTTGTACGTGGTACTGAACAATCGACTGTTTTTTCTACACAAATCTTATCAAAAACATCACGAGCTTCTAAAAAGTTAAATTAACAAATCTCAGAATTAGAAATTTAATATATAAAATTACCGGGCGTTGAAAGTTGGTCAGGTGTTGGAAGAGTCATTCCGAGAACTTTGCCGAGTTCTTCATACATATTCACTCCTGTTTAAAGAAACAACGAATAAAAGTTAAATTAAAAATTAAACGTTTAAATGGTGGAGTAAAGTCGACTTGATATACAGGCACTGTGTCAGGTCCATTCGGGTGATATTGAATTTTATAGGTGCCATGAAGACTATAAACCATTTCTGCAAATAATAAAAGGATTAAATTATAAAATTTTTCAAAGATTTCTCACTAGATAACAAGTCCTCAGTCAACTTCATTAAATCCTCATAATCAGCATATGCCATATAAAACTCACAAGAAGTAAATTCAGGATTATGGGTTTGATCAATACATTCGTTACGGAAAAGACGTCCAATTTCGTAAACTCGATCAATACCTCCAACAACCAACATCTTAAAATTAGAAATATTTTCCAACCTTTAAATATTTACGCATATTTAGACTGTCAAAAAATAAATAAAAATTTAGTGATATTTTTAAAAAAATTTCGATACCCAATGAAATATTTTATCAAACGATTAAGTTAAAGTTGGGTAAAATCTAAAAAATTTTCCTTTTTTCCAAATTAAATTTTAAAGGTCGGGTGTATTTAATAAAAATTAAAACCTTATGATAAAGCTCAGGCGCTACTCTCAAATAAAGACTCATCTCCAAATCATTGTGGTAAGTAACAAAAGGTTTAGCTGTTGCCCCACCGGCAATTGGATTCATCAAAGGCGTTTCTACTTCCAAAAATCCCAAAGCATCCAAATAATTTCTCAAGAAAGTAATTATTTTTGCACGAATAACAAATTTATCGCGAACATGTGGATTTGCAATAAGGTCAAGATAACGCATTCGATAACTGAAAAAAATAAAATTTGTTGTTATTTTAGAAAAAGTTAGAAAGATTAATAAAGAAAAACCGACCGAACTTCCAAATTTTTGACACCAAAATGTGTTCTCTAAAAAAGAAAAAATTGTGTTAAGTCCGAAATAGAGAGGGAAAAATTAGGAAGGAAATTGAAAAGATTAAAATAAGGATGTGAAAAATAAAAATAGCTCGAAAAAATACAAAAGGGGTAAAATTCAAGTTCGTTCCCCCCTCCCTTTTCTTTCTTCAAATTATTAAAAAATGGTTAGTCAGTCTATCATTTGTATAAATTTTCGTCCCCATGGTTTTTCGCCCCTATGGTTGTTCAATTTTCAGCGGTCTGTATTTCGGTCAAATCAAGTCAACACAGCTCGACGAGTTCTTTACCCTAAGACTGACTGACATTTCTTTATAATTTGAAAAAAGAAAAAGGATGGGGAACGAACTTGAATTTTATCACAAAAGGCAAAGTGATAGAGGGGAAATTCCAATTTAGATCAAAAAAGTAAAAAAAAACCGGAAGCATTCTAAAGCAAGGCGTTAGCAATTGAACAGAAGTTGGAATAACACTGAGTTCGCCAGAATTTGAACGAGATGGATGGCCTTCAACACCAATAATATCTCCCCTCTTAATTTTATCATGAGAAGAAAGAAAATCATCAATTCCAGCTGAATGGAATCTTTAAAAAATTTTTCTTAAATTTATAAAAATAAAAAAAAACTTTGCATTAGCCAAAATTTGAATTTTTTTGCATTCTCCATGTAAATCATAAAAAATTAATTTAGAGCCTTGCTCACGTTTAAGATAAACACGGCCTGAAAAAATAAAATTTATTAAAGAACTTAAAAACACAAAAAATAAACCTGCAACCCTAACAGTTTCATCTTCCAGAACTTTTCCTCGTTCAGTCAAAACAGAATCATATTTTTCAATAAAATTAGCCAAAGAAATTCCAACATCAAATTTATGTGGAAAAGGATTTTCACCAGCAGCTCTACGACTTTGGACCATTTCTTGTCTCATTCGAAAATATTCTGCTGGAAGTGATGGATCCTGTGCTTTCTTTTTGGTAGACATTTGGCGAAAGATTAAATTTAAAGCTCTCAATTTATTTATCTTGATCATAAAACAAAAAAGTATTAAATATTGCAGAAACTGCAATATTAATAAGAAATACAAAAAATATAAGAAAAGTATGCATTAAATGCAAATAATTTTGAAATTATTATGTAGTAAAAAAGTTAATCCAAAAACTCTCGAAACCAACAAGTTTTTAACTTCCCAACAAAAGTTAAAAACAAAGGGAGGCGCGGCCAGTCTGGCGCACCCAAAACAGCGCGGACCAAAACGGCGCAAGACCAAAACGGTGCAAACCCAAAACTGCACAGAGTGATAGAGTGTTTAATCATGTTATCATCAATTGGCAACATTGAGAGGGATCAATTGACTCGAGTAATCAACCTGATTGTGATCGATCTGACCTTAGTGATCTATCAAAAATCGCTGACCACCCTTTGCGTTCACTGATCCGTCTAATTATTAATAAAATTCTGCAATAAGGTTTTGCGCATTACGGGAAAATTGTTCCAACAATGTGGAAGATCGTTCCAACGTCGAGAAAAGTTGTTCCAGCAACGGTGAAGGCATTGGAGGAAGTTGTTCCGAGAACGGGAGAGGTTGGTCCGTTAACGGGGGAAGTTGATCCATTAACGGGATAAGTTAATAAATATATTATAGCCCTCCCTACCTGTGTTTTATGTTTATTTTCGAGATTCTAGGATCTCTGAGTAAACAGAGCATTTCTACTTTAATTATAATTTTTTAATGAAATTGCATAAAAAAGTAAAATAATTTCTTTTCATATTAATTTGTAAATAATATATTTTCTGTATTTTTTATATTATTTTTATTTTCTTCAATTAAATCTTTTTCATCTTTCACTTTATTATTATCATTATTTCCTTCCTCAAATTCATCAGAACTTTCTTGAATCGAAGCTGTAGCTGAAGTTAATGTAGCAAATAATTGGGCAAGTTCGAAATGATTTAAAATACTTGTTGGACTTTCTGATACATTTAAATTATTATTTATGTTTATATCTACTAATAAATTAAATTTGATTATTTTAGGAAAATTATGGAAAGTTATGAATACTTTGATAATTAACTAATTCAAAATAAATCCAAATTTTCTCTATTAGAATCCCTTTTGAAGGTGTTTGAAAATAGAGTACCCAGGCATTTATTAGAGGAATTACGGTAAATTACAATGGTTATCCCCCATACATTGGTTCCCGTTTTCACCTTATTTTTTACATGAGAATTTATTAAAACCGGATTTAATATTCTAGAAATTCCCTAATTAAACGAAGAATTACTATTTTATATTTTATATTTTATACACAATCTAGATATTTAAAAAGATTTTTTAAATACCTTCAGAATTATTATTAATTTCCTCCTCATTTAAATTATTAATTAATTCAATTTTTGGAGATTTTGAAATATTTTTTCTTAAATCATTTGGTCTAATACTACAACTATTAGTTTCTATTAAAGGTATTGTTGTTCTTTTTAAATATGTTGAATGATGAGTTTCCATATGTCGACGACGATCAACCTTTTTTTTTAAAAATATTTTCTATAAAAAAATTTATTTTTTACTTTTCTTTGAAATGTTTTTTCGCAACAATCACAAGAAAAAGGTTTATATCCCGAATGTTTTCGAGTATGTGTCTAAATAAATAAATAAATTATTAAATGTAAATAAATATTAAAATACAATTAAATTAGAAGATTGGGAGAATGCTTTCCCACAAACAGCACATTTATGGGGCTTTTCACCTGAGAAAAAATATATTTTTTTAAATTTTTTTAAAATTAAATACCAGTATGTATATAAGTATGTTTTTTCATGTCTGATTTTTGATGAAAACGTTTTCCACAATATTCACAAGGATATGGCCTTCTAAAAATTAAAAATAAACATTTTTTTAATAAATTATTTATTTACGTATCACTATGTATTAATAAATGTGTAGATAAAGTGCTTGATCTTTTAAAACTTTTTCCGCATTGATGACATTCAAATTGTCGGTAATTAGTAGTGTTGTTATTAAAGGATTTTGATGTTGTTTGCTCTCTAAAATATTTTTGAAATTATTTATAATTATTTATTTCAATCTTTTAATTATCCTAGTCTCGATAATGGGGGGGGGGGGTATTGAGACACTGGGTCATAAGACGGGGTCTTTCGTGGAGAAATAAATTTACTTAGAACTCATATTCTGCACCAAGGCTTTGTATGGTATAAAATAATTTTTTAATAATTAGTCGACTTATTTTAAAATTGTTCGGACATTCCCTCCCTTAAAATACCTTTCAATTAAATTTTTGAGTTAATATAAAATTATTATTTAAATTTTCAATTCTTCTACTAACCCTTTTAATGCAAAATTAAATATTTCTTCTTTCCCATTTTCATTATTAATTAATTTATTATTATTTTGTTTATCCATTGATGTAAAATTATTAATTATTTTTTCAGTTTTTCTTTTAGAATTTTTCAATTTAAATTTAACCCTCCTTCCATTATTTTGTTGTTGTAGTTGTTCTTTTTCAAAAATAAATTGATTTTGTTGGTTATTATTAATTGAAGATGTTGATTCCAAATTATTATTAATATTATTATCACGTCCACAAAAATTATTATTAAAAAGTGAAGATGTTAAACGTAATTGTTGGGCCAGAAAATTCTTTAAATAATTTTTTTGAATTTATTTTAAATTTTTTTAGACGAGATAAAAAATTTTTAGACAATAAATACTAAAAATTCTTTATCTTTAAAGAAAAACCCAAGAAATCCTTCCTTATAAATTATCTCGTTAAATATTTAATTTTTAAAACCTGTTGTAGAATTATGGCATAGAATTCTGAAGGATTAAGAAAAGAATTTGATTGTTGATAATTTGAGAAAGATGGAGGAATTGAATAATTTGGAATTATAAAGTTCTATAAATAATAAATATTTAAATATAATTAAAAATTTTTTATTTTTTATTTAAAATTTTTTTACTAAAGTTCCAATCTTTTTTTCTTAAATTTCCCTCAAAATTTATTATAAAATTATTTTAATTTAAATTACTCTTTGATGATGAAATAAATGTCCTCCTCCCATAATAGAGCTATTATTATGTGTCTGTTGATGATTATGATGGAATTGTGTTGAATTTTTAGAAGAAGTAGAAGCGGGAGAGTCGAAAAATTGTGGAAAATTATCATTTAAAATTCTCTTTCCTTCTCCTTCTTTTTCATTATTTTTAATATTTCCAAAAGATGCGGCAGAGTCTTTTCCAAAAGTTAATTGCCTCAATGGCCATGCCGTTATTGGTGAGGAATTTTGATGGATTGAAGAATTTGGCGGTGTCCATTGTCGAGGAAAATCATTTCGATTTAATGATGAATGAGGGGAAGAATTAATAACTAGAAAATAAAAATGCGGGAATTTTAATATTTTAATTTTAAATTATATTTTTAATTAGTATTTTAATAAATAATATTTTAATTTAATTTTAGTTTTAAATTTTTTTTATTAAATTTTAATAGAATTTGATGTGAAATTTATTTAATAAAATTTAATAATACAAATTGAATTTAAAATATATATATTTATTTTTTACTCCAAAAAATCCCACAGAGAAGGGCAAAGTAAAATTTCGATGATTTTCCACGCGAAAGATTTTTATTAAAAAAAATTTTATGGCATTTTTATTTACATGATTGGATTTGTCTAAATAAATTATTTAGAAGAATCTGGGAATAAATGTGTTATTAAATGAGAGAAAAATAAAAATAGTTATTTTTATTTTTAAATTAAATTTACGAAAACTTTTTTAAAATAATATTCAACATTTAAATACTCTTTACATACCCAAAACACCTGTGTGTATTTAATTTTTTCATGTGTTAGTCTATATATTATTGGTTTAGCAATAGAAACACTTCCGGAAATGTTTGAATAAGGATAAGATGAACTCTCGAAGAAAGTCAATTTTAAAGTGGCCAAAAGGGAAAAACAAACAAAAATAAATTTATTTTTATGTGCCAAAAATGAAATTTTACCGTTTATCACCTTTCAATATTTTTTTTGGCACATCTGCTCAGTTTAAATAAATATTATTTTCACAAAATTTGCTCTTGTATATTTACATTTAAAAGTTTAATGAAATTTGAATCAGTCCAAAAGTTTTTTAGAAAATAAAATTATTAGAAATTGACCAAAATTGTTAAACGAAAAAAATTCTCTTTCAAAAAATATTTATTTTCAAAAATTTTAATTAAAAGTATCAGATTACGGTCAAGATAGGATTGGCAAAAGTGTGTAAGTCAACATTTTTGAGAAAAAAGTAAAGAAATGTCAGGTTATTCAGATATATACTTAAATATACTTCAACAAATCACACCAATACATTCTTGAGAATATTTGGAATTATTTTTTTTTGTTTTTAATAAAGTTTATTTTGAAAGATTTTGTTTGTTTTAATTAAGAAGATTTAAGTTGAATTAAGTGAGGATTTTAAAGGAATATTAAATGAATTTTATATAATTTATATTAAAAGGGAATTAAATAACCTAGTATTTTAAAATAACCAAAGAAATCTTGTCTCTATTTAAAATATCTTTTTAATTTTTATATTTTTTGTAAAGCTTCATTTAAACAATTTTAAAGTCTCCAGAGTCTAATTAAAATAGAATATTTTCTTTTAAAAGCTAAGATAAATTAAGTATTAAAAATAAAAAGAGAGAGATGTGCCTGACCTTAACCCCCTTTCCAAGTAATTGTTTCTCTTTCTTTTTAAGGTTTGAAAATTAAGAAGAAATATAGGGGGTCTTGTCAATAGTTAAAATAAAAAGGGACAATCTACTCAAAACTATAGATTTTGCGCAATATTATTTTTTAATGCCTAAGAATATATAAAGCTTGTGACATAAAAAAAGGAGATTGTGCCAATTCGCGCGAATCTTTCTTTTTTTTAAATTTTAATTTAAAAATCTGCCTCGTGTCAATTCTTGTCAATCAAAAAACATGCAAATTTTAGAGGATTCTGATATGAAAGTAAAAAAATATTTTTTAAAAGAAGAGTATTTTTAGTGTAATAATTATTGCGTGTTTAATAAATTTGTTTAAATTTTTTGATAAAAATGGAATTTTTAAATTAAATATAAATAATTATTTTAAAAATAATTTTAATCTTCTTTGTTGCTTTTTAAAGGAAATTTTCTGTTCTTAAATTTTTTGGGCTAATCTTTGCTTGAGATACTCTTCTTTTCTTAATCATTTTTACCGCAAACAATATTTACACAATCCTAATCATTTAAAATTACAAAAAATATTTTTCTTTTTTCTTCTTTTTAATAACCGCTTAAATATATTCCCCTCCCCCCTCCCTCCCTAATAAATGTAAAAGTAAATACACGGCATTTATTTTGGCCTTAAATTTTACCTTTTTTGATGGCCATCTTTGTTTAAAGTGCCTGCTGACCTTTACAAGCAACAAACACTTTGAACACTTAACTAGTTTATTTTTGACAAGAAAATACTTAAAATACAATTTATTCCCCGTTATTTAACTACTTTAAATGTTTTTATAAGCAGCAGGTGGGAAAACAAATAAATAAAAAAAATAAATTAATATTAATTATAGATTAAAGAAAATATTTTTTAAAATTAAAATTATTTTATACTAAAAATTTTTTCAATTTTTTTTCAATTTTATTTTTTTCTAAACGCGTGTGGGAATTGACGTTGATGGGAATTGGACACTTTAATAATAAATATAAGAGAAGGGGGATATTTAGAATATTTTTAAAAAGCAATCCGCAATGATTGCCTTTGGTTTTAAGAGAAAGATTGGGAAGAAATGGATATATGTATTACTGTAAAGGGTTTTTTTAAAATGAGAAAAAAAATATTTTTTTTATTTTTTAAATTACGGTTATTTTGTTGTTGTTGAAAAACAGCAATAGCAATTGCTAAAAGTAATTTTTGTTGTAAAAATGAATTTGAAATTGAAGACGAATTTGAATGATCGTCATCATTATTTTGATTATTCTGTTGGTCTATTTCTTCTAATATTTTTATTTTTTAATTTTCAAAGAAAGTTTTATAAAAATTAAATAGGCTTAAACTTGTGACCGGATCCGGCCGTCTTTTTCCTCAGTCTGAGTCCCAAATCCGGATTTTTTCCGGACCGGATTAATCAGAAAAAATCCGATCCGGTCCGGAAAAATCGATTTTACCGGCACTAGTTTAAACTAGATAGAACTAAATAACAGGAGCGGGTTTAGTCTCCTATTTTGTGGGACGAGGCCCATCCCTGCTAAATACCTAAAGAACGCGAAATGACCGAAAAAAGTTGGCAATACTATTTATATATTAGAGATTTTTTTAAATTGGTGATTACTATATCTGGATTCGATAATTTATTCAAATAAAATTTAAAAATATTTACGTTTAACTAATTGAGGGGAAGAAGCTTCTTCATCATCATTTGTTTCCATTAAATCCTCGTCTGCAGAATTTTCATTATTATTTTCTGATTT